CCTGTACCCGTTGTCGCAGCCGCCGCTACGCCTGCGACTGCTGTCGCGACCGAATCGGACGTCGAAAGCGACGTGACGCCCAGTAGCGTGAGTACCTGATTCTTACTCGCGTCCCCTCTTCCTGTCTACCGCGTCTGTCGTACCTACACCACTCCTCAGCCCCTCCCCGCAATCGCAACTCTTCCTCAATCAAACGGCAAGCTCACAAATGGTCACGCCGCGCAGCCTCCTGCTCCCGCAAAGAAACGTGCCGTTCAGGAATCAGAGTCGGAAGAAGAGGAGGACGAGGCGGTCGATGACGACGAGGACGAGGAGGAATCGGACGAGGAACAGGCGCCGCCGAAGAAGAAGTCGAAATCCACTCCTGCTCCTGTACCCGTTGCCGCGCCCGTACACAAGAAGCGCAAGAACAAGGATTGAGGTAGTTGGGGGACGTAATGCGATGATGAAATGATACGTGTTATGGCTCGTCAAGACTCGAGAACGCTGTCCGAGCTACCCTATGCTTTCTGTCCAACTCCTAATGCACGCTACGACTGCTGTATCGGCGTGCGTTTGTCTTTTACTTTTACTTCCTTACTCTTTTATTACTGTAGCTCTTCCCCCACAATCATATGCCCATCCTGCCCTGTCTCTTTTCTCCTGTCGGCAGTGTACCGCATGGTAGTTGGTGCCGTACGGTTATACATTCAATCGGCTTTACGACGCCACGATACACTCGGCCCCTGCGCATATACGTTCGCTCGGCGTACTGTAACGCTAGCACGCTCGGAGTTCCGCTAGAACTCTCGCATGAACGTTGGTGCATATGGTGCCCACATTGAATGCTCGGTGCCGGCGTCGTATCGGGGTACGGAGATGAGTGGCACCCGCTCGCGGCTCGGGCGTCTATCCGGCCCCGATCCGTTACTCCGGCGCGGTTCGGACTTGGAGCTTGGTACTTGACCACCATGACCTCCCAGTCATGATACTTGGGATACTCTATACGCCGCGTCGTGTCAGCACCTAAAGCCGAATGAAGTGGATGCAGCAGTCGAGCCATACGCGGATACGCTATTCAGCCAGTCGAGGCTACGCGCTGCAACCGACGGCTCGCCGCCCGCCCTTGAAGTCACTGTAGAGCGCTTGATTGCAATTGCCCGGTCCTTCCGTTCAGGAGAAAAGAGATTGCCGTTGGATATACGGGCCATGCCATATGCCGCTTATCTCATGCGGAGATGCCGCGGCATGGTCTGAACGTTGAACGCGCTTCGAGTCTACTTATGCCAAGGGCCTCATATTCGCTTCACGTTAGGGACTACTTGCCAGCGACGATTCGAGATTTCAATGCAACGAGCCGACGAACAACGGTGTCTGCTCCAGCACTTGATTCATAATATCCGTTCGGTGCCCATGATACAGTGCATCTCTGGTCTCTCTTCCTCTTCTTCGCCTCATAGAACCTCATTCTCGGCTGCCCATGGTCGTGCAACGTCTCTTGTTCGGCTTGGCTCTACTAAAGACCATCTCCGTCGAGGTCAATGCGCAAGACTTCTCTCTAAATGCAAGCCGGGTAGTTTGTTCCAGCACTTCCACGGATCAGCTCACGACTGATTCAAACTAGCGGAATCCGACCGCAACGTACATCTCGGCGCAAGATGCCAATCCGTACCATGCACCGAGAAGCGCATCGCGTCAAGTGATATGTGTTTGGAATTGAGCTCCTGCGGCGTTCTCTGGCAATAGTGAGCGGTCTCTCGCACGCACGCCACGTTGGTATAGATCTGTATAACCCGCCGGCTTCTTTCCGACCGACGAGATAGGTCAATCGACTCCTTTGCCCGTAGTTATACGCCACCGTGCGGCAGCGGTAGAAGCCTTCGCGCGACATGATTACAGGCTCCATATCCCGCCCCGCTCACACGACCATGGTTTGAGATCATACGCTCTGGTGCAATTGGGCCATACATGGATCAAGCTCTTATCATTCAGGTACTAAAACAAAACTCTCGCTTCATGCACACACGCTCAGTTACGACGACACGCGATACTCATACAGCCTTTTTGGGCACTGGGAGGTCACGATGAGCAGCTTGCATTGCATCGACGACGAACGGCGCTGAACATACCTCTGGAGATCTTGATCCTTCAGTTATTTCTGCTCAGTGCCTGAGTCCTCGTCGCCTGTCTCGCCGCGTTTGTCTACAAGTTGAGATTGTCAGATCAGGCCATGCATACGATCCAGGATGGACTCACGGATAGGCGAAGCCAGACCAGCCGTAGCGAGCAGAGCCACACAGATGAAACCAATGAAACTGCGCATATCGAGCCGCGGGTATAGGGAGGCGCGGTGGTACAAGGGCGAAGGACTCCGTCCTGGAGCAGCTGGCTCCTGACTTGAGTACGATCTTATAGTCAAGCGCAACGCTTTGACAGATGCTAACTAACGCATGGCGCTCCGTGTTTTCCTGATAGTGATGCTACTGGCTGTACGTTGTGCCAGAATGTCTCTTCCTTCCGTATGCATGGCTGTTGGCCGTATATCCGGCAGAGCAATCATGTTTCAGATAAAGTGAACTATACATATGCGTCTTCTGAGGACCAGATACTACACACTCCCCTTATCTTGCAAGAATGAACTGAAACACGGCCGTACTCGTCAGCTCCTTTGCTTGAAGCTTGAAGAGTTCACCGTCAGATCAGGGCTCACCTTGGGTGATATCGCAGTATCTTTAAGACATTAGCCCTACTTCTTAGAGCCAGTGGACCCATCCGGATCTTTATCGGACGAAGGAGCCCCGACTAAACAAGTGGCAGGGAGCTACAAGTCGGACACTCTTCATCATCAGGGCAGACTCACTCGTAGGAGCAGCCCAGACGCTGATAGTCAAGATCGTGGCACAAAGAAGGGTGAACATCGCACGCATGATTGGCGGGAATCTTGGGTAGCAGGATGAGTCGAGCGCGATGAATGACTGCTTGGCTTGAGTGTCAGCTCTCGCAGACTTCATAGGGTACATTCGCGACCGGGCCATGCCCAGCGATCATGGTGGCCCTCCGCCTCGCCGTCCAGCTTATCTTATCGCAGTGTGCGTTTCAGCTATCTCTGAATAATATCCAGACATGTGGTACGAAGCTGGGAGAGCGGATGCTGGATTGGGTGCATCCCTCATGGTCAACGACGAGAAGATTGGCAGGGTAAGGTTCAATATGTCATTTAGACTGGCGGGGAAGCAAGAGGGCGGGAGTCGAGTCATCGAAATATGATTCATCATGAGGAAATATGATGATGCCTGTCATTGTTGTGTGTGAGTGCATCGAAGATTAGGCACAGGTACGCTGACAGCACGGATATGCGGTCAGTGGAGATAGCCAGCCATACCGTACTCCGTGATTCGCGCGTGAGCTGAGCCAGGTCACAGCGACTGCATCTTCGCATGCTGATAGTATGGGTGGCCACCTTTTGCAGGCAGCTCTTGACAGAGAACGCCAACTGAACGAGGGCGCGATGCCCTGTAGCGTCTATGAACCGTCATAACATTCTGAGTTGCTTTGGTTCATCGTCGTAAGATAGAATAAGGGCACCTCGTCAAAGCATCGGGACGGTAACGAAGATTGACCATGAGACGGGCTGCATGAAGCTCACTACATGGCGTCGACGCAACCCGAATCGGAGCGTTCTAAGACTCAGCGTACAGCCTAGCTTCGGGCGCGATCTTCGGTAATCACTTCATAGCTGCAGCTTCTAGGCCGTATAGGTAGCCGTAAAGCGATGAGATGGCTGCGTCGTACAGTGACAATCGGATGTCAGTATCTCAAGGAGAAGACAATGACTTGTTCTCGATTAGGGAAGTCTCCAATGACCACCGTGCAGAGCCCTTGCTGAAGCTGTGCCGAACTTCGAGTCGAGAGAGTGCCATTGAACCGGCACCGACAACGCCGGAAGTTGGTGCAGATGGGGCAAAGAGGACATCCTGCGTAGGTACCCGGCAACTCCTGCGACTATCGTGGTCGTACTGAGTGAAGCAGCCGTTCTGCGCGTGGTCAACTGCGTAGCCAAGACCGGTCCGTCGACCGAGCTCATTCCCACGCGCGACCCGCGTCGTTGTCCGAGCCCGCCGCTTGCCCTTCCGTCCCAGTTCCGCACCGCCATGAGGGTCCAAACCATTACACTACCTCCTCGGTTGAATTTGACTTCGCCGTCCTGCTCGGCGCTTCCAGTGCTAGAACTTGCGTCATTGATCTGGCCTGGATGCTAGCGACCGCTCAGAGTCTTGTTTAGAGGTCTGAGCGTTTCCTGCGCGTCTAATGATCACAACAGTTAACGACCTCCTTGGGGTTCTACAGACCTACACCATCCTCTATGGCAACACAATGTCAAAGCTATCCAGAGAAGAACTCCTTCTCGCGCGGTCAGTGCGGACATTCGCCGAAGGCTCGGGTCGGCCGCGATTGTCTCGCTCCCGGTTCGCAGTGCAATCAGGGCCAGCGCGCGCTGTCATGCTGAATCCGCCGGTACTTCGTGCAGCGTATTGTGCTACTGTCGTACTGCACAGACAAACGAGGTCCGACTGTTCACACGCGACACCTACGTACAAGATGAAATGTTGCCATTGTTGACACAGGCTGGGAAGCGCCTCGAATCACTTCATCCCATTTCGCGCAGTGCTGCCACTTGCCTAAAGACAAAAGCTGCTCAGGCTTCCGGCCTTGTTTACGGATGCGGTTGCTACTTCCTGAGGGTCTGAGCGCGTGCATGTTCCGCAAGAAGTTGGAAACGCACCGCTTGGCCAATGCAGCCTTTGTTCAGTCGGAATCAACCACCTTCCAACTCTTCCATGCTGTGATGCATAGCCCGGATACATCCCTTCTGCGACGTAGGGTGTCTTTGACTCAAATCTTCCTTGCAGCTATAAAGCGCGCTCGGTCAACAGTGGCTTCACGAATCATCTTCCAATCTCACCATGCTATCTCTGCTCTTACCCCAACTAATCGGACTCGGCGGTGGTTCGCCTGAGAATACCAGTATCACCAGTCTAGTTTTCGGTGCTCTACCGGTGGCCATCATCGGCGCCGTGACCTGGCTCATCATGCAGAATCGCGACGCCGTCTTCACCTGGGTCATCGATCGATTCACCGTGACTGCGAAGTTCGAGAGCGGCAATGAGGCCTACGGTACGCCTCATGTTTGCCTACAAGCTTTCGATCTCTCTTACTGATGACAATTTCAGCTTGGGTGCAGTCATGGGCGGCAGCGCAGCCCGAGTGGTGTATGTATCAACATATGATTTTGCATCTATCGCCGTGTATCTGACATTACGACAGCTAACTTTCGGCGGGTCCAAGTCGCGAGTGCTGGCGGCCGCAATGATGTATTTGGGTGGTTCCAACGCTTCATGAAGTTGGAGACGAGTAGACCGTATTGGTGTCGCCCGATCGACGGCGCTTGGATGTTCTGCCGCTTCAAGGGCGTGCACACGCTACTCACCTTCCACGATCCCACCAACGATGGAGGATACCGTCCAGCTGTTATCACCATTCAGTATGTCGTTATCCGAGACTTGCTTGCGGGAGGCTAATACCATAACAGACTGTTGACCCTCGATCATAAACATCTCGCCGTGTTGCTTGAGGAGGCCCGTAGATTGCACAAGGACGCACGCGAAGGTCTGACAGTCTGGACGCACCCCAGAGCGTGAGTAGTCGCCAAAAAAGCAAGCGCTATGTCTCATGCTCACATCGCCACGTTGTAGACTCTCGGGACCGGACGTCGAGTGGGAGAACTGGTGTATGATGGACAGGCGCTCGATACAATCACTAGTGTTGGATGATGACATCAAGGCTAAGTCGCTCGAGGATGTGCGCGATTTCTTGAGCGAGGAGAGCAAGCAGTGGTACAAGGATAACTCGCTACCATACCGGCGGGGCTACCTTTTCGTACGTGGTTCATCGTCGAGTTTGCTCGTATGCTGATGCATCCCATAGTACGGTGTGCCAGGATCGGGAAAGACGTCGCTCATCCACTGCATTGCGAACGAGCTTGACCGCGACGTATGCGTTGTGACACTCTCGGCTGTAGACGACACCACTCTGTAAGATTTCAATGCGCCTATCCGTCTTTCTCTGTAACTGAATGACCGTATTCACAGGCCGAAGTTACTTGGTAGCACACCGGAAAAGGCCGTTGTGATCATTGAAGATATCGACGTCGCGATTCAAAACTCAAAGACGGCGGCCAATGAGTCTCGCAGTGACAAGTCCGAGCGCAATAACCAACCCGGACGATCCCAAGACGGCTTAACCCTGTCAGGTCTCTTGAACGCCATCGACGGTGTGACCTCGCAGAACGGGCGCATCCTCTTCGTGACAACTAACAAGGAAGCGGCGCTTGACCCGGCTCTGACTCGCGCTGGCCGATTAGACGTTCACATCGAATTCCGCAATGCGAAGAGCCAACACGCGGCGCAGCTCTTTCGGCGATTCTACACGGTCAAGTCAAGTTCGAAGCCGGGCACATCGCTTTCCTCTGAGGAGGTCAGCGACCTTTCGCAGGTCTTTGCCGATGCCGTTCCGGACGGTGCACTCGCTATGGCCCAGATCCAGAACTATCTGATGTCGCATAAGCGTGATCCCCACGCGGCATGCGATGGAGTACACGACTGGATAGCACGCGAGCAATTGAAGGCGAAGCAAAGGCAGATGCGCTCAGAGGTCACTGATGCGCCCATGGAAGTGGTGCTGTGCTCGCCGTCCGAGCCTAGTTCTCCCCTTAGCGATGCTGGCTCGGCTCCAACGCTAGCGCCTTCGCCTTCCGCCGATCACAAACTGCTCTTCGAGACTGTACGGGAGCTGACACAAGCCGTCTCTGTACTGGCATCGGTGTCCTCCGACATCTCTGCCACTGCTCCTTGTTGCTCGGAAAGGGCCCTTTCCGAGATCGGACATGGAGACACGCTTCAGATGACAAGCGGAGATAACGCTGCTCATCTCAAGCTAGCCGACCAGGAGGGAGCGGATCTTGGCTTGGCACTCCGCTCCCTCTAATCCTACATCCCGTCCGTATTTTCTCGTTCTCCTCTCGACCCCGGACATCTGCATTCTGATCATGGACAACCGTTGATTATCATGCGCTCTCGAATACCCCATCACGATTGACCTTTATGATACCCTCTACGATCCACATGTCGACTAGCATCTTCTTGCAATTTACAAATTGATGGCCGCCCAGATGGGGTGTAATGGTTTGTATTCTCTGTTTACAGCGTGCGTAAGGTCACTGCTTTAAAGAGTGCGATCCCAGCGCATCCGCGCAGGATTGCCCTTTCTCCCCTTTTCTTTCTTCTCTCGGCGTCCATGTTGTGGGGTCATCTCTCCGTCGTGCGGCGCGTTGTCGGGGCTTTGGCTTTGGTGGGCGTGGTTGCGGGGCAAGACCTGTCCGTTCCTTCGAATTGGAGTGTGCGTTGTGCTTCCTAGTCAGTTCCGAGTGATGCTGATGGATGTGCAGGGCAGCACGACCAGCACCGACTCGCGTCCGGTGCGCGAGGCCTTCGCCAACGATGCAGCAAAGGCATTAGTTCAGAATATCGCATCCACTGGTAGTCTGTCGAGTGCGTACATGTTCTCCGCCTGCATGCGGTGGCCCTATTCTGAACGCTATCCCGCTTTCAGATACTACGGAGAGCCAGGCGTTGGCAAGCATGTATACTGTGCTCGCCCAACAAGATTTGCTCAGCGCGAATACGACCTGGAAGGACACCGTGACTGCAAACATTAAGACATGGACCGGGCAGATCGACATCTTTGGGAACGGCACGGCAGGATCAAAACGAACCAACAGCAACGGAATGTGCGTACGCAGCCCTATCGTCCTGATCATCATGATTGAGTTGCCTTTGATCAGACAATGGGCGCTCGCGTACTTTTACACTTACAAAGCATATGGCGATTCTTCCTTCTTGACGCTCGCGAAGAACGCATTCGATACTACATATGGCAGCTATATCACTCCTCCCGTTGCCAAGGCCAAGGAGGGAGGACCAGGACGTAATATCTCTTTCAATGCCTCGGGGTGCTTTGGTGAGTTTCCGTTAATTCCGTTCCGCGATAGTGAAGCTGAATTAACTTTACTATGTAGACTCGGCTGCAGGCGGTATATTCTGGGTAGGGAAAGCCGTTTTATGATCGACGGTGAAGTGCTGACTTGGTACATCAGCTCCCAGATGTGCCTGATAACTCTCAGATTCAGGCGGATACTGTTGGGTGAGTCTTCGCCCTGCTGTTTTACGCCGGCGACCCAGTACTTATTTGTCCGGTAGACCATTTTCGGTGTGAGTAGACCCTCGCCGCCTTGGGACTGGCGCTGAACTGACCTTTCATAGTCTTGCGGGTCTTCTGTACGAAGAAACGAAGAATGAGACGTACAAGACGCTGGGTCAACAGTCCGCTCAATTCATGGGCGGGTTATTGCTCGATGGTGAGTCTACATTGCACGTAGCCGCGCCTCTCAACGTAACGAGGAATGGCAGAGCATGATGTAGAGCTGGGCGTGGTTGATGTTGGGTTCTGTCTCTTCAACACTGGCCGAAGCCCGGGACTGCAAGGGTGGTATGTCTACGCACTCAGCATCTGGGCGAACATCACTAGTGATTCGGATCTTACGGGAAAGTGCGCCTGCTTCACTAGAGCAACTTGTCTAGAAGTTTACTTATACCCTCTCACAGACTACGCACGGCAGTGTCAATTGCGGCTCACTCTACTGACTGGACCGAGACGGATGGCATATTGCTAGGTACGTCGCATATCTATCGCTGTGCGACATGAAGCTGAATCTTTCCTCAAGATACACAGACGTTCATCAGCGATGCCGAATTCGATGATAAAGGTACGCTGTTCCTCCATTCTCCACCGAAGTCCGCGATTCACTGATCGTTTCTCTCAGCCATTCTAGTCCGTGCTTTGAGCGAGACCATCCGCCGTTTCCCCACTTCTGGAGACCTGGTCCAATTCATCAAGGCGTTCCTAAACGTTCAGGTATTACCTCAAGCCTCGTTTCCGGAGGGCTTTGAAGCTAACTCAAACTCAAAGTACAATGCTGCGACCAATAATGCGCGTAGCGGTAGTTCATACGCGCAAGCCCTCTTTGGACCCCCGCCCGCCACATTCTCAAATAACGGCAATCTTGTAGCGTTGGACGTTCTCAATGCTGCCTTCGACATGATACCGAAGAATGCGTACGTCAGCATGGTGCCCCGTGCGTCTTGAATGATCACTCAAACCCCGACAGTTCGTCTTCGTCATCCTCCGGTTCGTCGCCGTCAGGTACTAGTGCACCATCGCAAACGTCCTCTACTTCGTCCTCCACTCCCGTTGGCGCCATCGCTGGCGGTGTTGTAGGCGGCGTCGCAGGTCTTGCTGCTTTGGTCGGTGTGGTCTTCCTCTGGCGGCGCCGGAACCAACGCCAGCGCGACAACTCCATGCGGGAGCCCTTTGACGGCGATAAGTCGGGCAACGCCAGTTACGAACACTCGCCGAACGCGCCACCTGTTGTCTATGCTGTGGAGCCATTTCTAGCAAACTCTTCGGGCAACCACTCATTTTCGGCGCCGATGTCTTCACCCCAGTTCAATGACTCGCATACGACAGGACTCAGCGGTATACAGTCCACAAGTACAGCACCCTCCAGCAATGGCACCCAACTTAGAGCTGTGAACGACGGCAACCAAGCACCGGCTGGCTACTCCTCGAAGTTGGCGCGCATGAATGCTCCGCCACCACCGCTACCCCGCGGTGCCTCGTCCCCTTCAGTGACACAAGTCTCTCCACCCGCATCGGATTCCGCCCAGGGTGCAGATGCTGGTTCCTCGAGCGCACAGTCGCAAGACATACCGGCACTAGTGGGACGACTGGTCAACGACCTCCTGCGCGAGCATGGTTCAGTGCCACCACAGTATGAAGAGAGGTAATTGGAACGTCGTCGGGCGACAAAGGGATGCTGCGGGGGTTCATCATATCTTCCTTTCGTTTGATAAACTTGGAAATCGATCTTTTCTATCTTGGTCTTGCTTTGAGTAATTGCTATAGCTACTATATTTATGTAATGGCCTGCCTTAAGTTGGGACATCGATTACGGTCAACACCTTAGGACCCTTCGTCCGAGTCGTCGTTGACGATCAACGAAAAGCACTGAGCATAATCATGGGATAGTTGAAAATCGGGCCGAATCATCTGAGCCAAAGACGCACGGCGCTCACGCTCGTCATCAAGGGCTTCCTTCCGACTTCCATCTACCCACACGGGTCGATCGGGACTGCAGGGGCTGTCGATCCACAGTACCTCGCATCGAGTCGAGCGCTACCATGCAATTAATCGGCGACGGCATAGTATCATCAAAGTCTCCCGCTAGAATATTCGATGCCGCTAGCCATACCGCCGATGGACACCTGAATCGATTCTCGATAGAGCGGCGTTGATACACGCGTTCTATGGGCTCACTCTTGCCACGAACGCCCTATCAATCGCGATCTATCTACGCGCTTCGATGACATGTAGCGTCGAGTGCTAGACGTGGCACCTTCGCTCTCCTACAGGACCCAAAGTGGCACGCACATCATCATGCGCCAGTCATACTGTACACCAGGATCTACTTTCGACTATCATCTGACTTGTGTCAGGACTTTCCCCGATGCCTTATGAGGTACTAGGAGAGGCGATCCCTTGATGGCATACAGCGCCTACTGTTGTGCGAGTCTGTACTTCCCATCGACTTTTATTCATATCACAATGACCCTCGAGTGTGCTGTGCTTCCACGCATATGATTCTCAGCTTATGATTCGATCGCCCAAATCTCCACATACAACTCGCCTGCGTGTAGCTCTCCATTCACCTCCGTCGCGGCGCTGGGCGCCTGTTTCGACCGGCTTCTGTCGTATCATATACGTACGCCGCACGGGCGTCTCTGTAGAGCAGTGCTACTTCCCGCGGCGCATCTTACGCCGACCCCTGTCTGCTGCTTCTCGTCCCGGCCTAGTCGGTCAGTGGCCGGTTTCACCACTCATCGATCGGACACGTCGGCCATTCTTTTGCCACTCCGTGGTCTGTACGGGTCTCGTCGTGTACCTCGCATACATCTGTGTGGGCACTTGGAGGGAACATTACCACGGCTAGGAGAACCGAGAACCCGGACGGGTCTGAGTAAGGAGCGTTGGTACCGGGTGGCGGTGCATCCCATCGTGATGAGTGGCAGAAACTCTGCCTTGCAAGGTTAGGCGTCTACGCCTGATACGAATGACTGGGGTACCTCATGAGCACTTCGCTCCGCCAGACCCGACTGAGGACGAGTAACTGATATAAGGGAATGACACTCGTGCTCCCACGCGGCTATTTCCTACCCTTTCCCCCATGCGCCTGGGTCACAACATGGCGCACCTTCGTCCCTCCCTCGCGCACCGCGCCTTGGGTATGCTGTTAGGGCTAATGGCATGGGGAGGGGTTGCCGCTCAGGATCTGTCGATCCCAACAGGCTGGAACGTGAGTCAGGCCCACAACCTGGTATTCGCACGTATTGACTGGCCAAGCAGGCGAAGTTCGATGGCTCAGACACTCGTGCAGTCCGCGAGGCATATGCGAACGGTGCAGCGGCGGCACTTGTGGCGAACATCACGTCGAGCGGCAGTCTTTACGGTACGTTATCACTCACGCCCACGATGGTGATCTTCCTACACCTCTCTGTGCCACAGATCGCCAGGATTCGCAGACGCTCTCAAGCATGTACAATGTGCTTGCGCTACAGGACATAGCTAGCGGCAACTCGACGTGGAAGGACGCAGTTCTGAACAACATGCATACCTGGATTAGTAACATCGACATCTACACCAACGGGACGAGTGGAGCACAGAGAACAAATAGCAATGGAATGTGCGTCGATATCGCCCTCTCTTTGACCTTCGCTGCATGAAAACTAGGCTATGGGCTCTTTCTTTCTACTATGCGTACAAGGCATACGGCGACTCTACGTTTCTGGATCAGGCCAAGCAAGCCTTCGATACCACTTCGCAAGACTATATCGACCAAGACATCGCATCGGGATCCAGTAATGGAGGGCGTAATGCTTCGCTTGGAGCCTGTCGCAGTGCGTGCGAAGCATGCTATGATCGATCTTGGGCACTGACATGATACAAGGTAACGCCGTGGGCGGCATCTTCTGGGTAAGATCGCCATGAAATGAACTTCTGTCAGTCACGATTCCTCATGTGTGATCCTACAGCTACCAGACGACCCTTCTAACGTCTTGATTCACACCTATGCGGTCGGGTATGTTCACTAGTCCGCTGTATGTGTGTCCTGTCCACTCTGATGTTCAACGAACACCTGTCCAGCCCATATGCTATGTGAGCACCTCGTACGCATAATGTATTCAGAGCGCCGCTCAGACATGACTCAGCCTCGCTGGTCTTCTCTACGAGGAAACCCATAACAGCACGTACCGTGATTTAGCTGCCCAGACAGTCACCTTCATGGGTGGATTGAATTTTGATTGTGAGTGTGAACCGTTCAATCGGAGAATACGTATTGAGCGTTCACAGCTTCAAACGGCATTGAGTACGACGTATATGACCTCGGTCATTGTGGCGATACCGGAGGAGTAGCACCTGGCCTTCAGGGTTGGTACATCTACGCTCTGAGCATCTACGCCAGCATAGTCGATGGTGATAATAGCTCGTACTTGTCCAAGTATGTCCTATCAGCTGTCAAATACAGTTCGTGCTCACTCCAGTGCTTCTTCTAGGCTTCGAACGGCGGTGTCCACTGCTGCCACTTTCAAGCAATGGGTGGGATCAAATGGTGTTATATCAGGTACTGTGCTTATTCATCAAATAGTCATACATGGCCTCACCTCGTATCTCAGACACAGATACGAACAAGCAGAACGGTAACTTTGACGACAAAGGTCAGTATTGGCTGCTTTGTCCTAGATTCAAGGGATCTCAGTCAAGTAGCGTTCTTGGTTCGTGGGATGAACGAGGTGCTTCGTCGGTTCCCCGATCAGGAGGATCTCGTGCAGTATATCCAAGGGTTCTTGACCGTGCAGGTGGGCAAGCATCGTCTCTATATCTGCAGGTCCGCACCGACTGATGCCGTATAGTACAACGCTGCGACTCAGACAGCACGTAAGGGGAACTCTTACTCTGCCTCACTGGTCGATGGTGCCCCTTCTACCTATAGCGACGCGGGGAACCTCGTGGCCATTGACATCTTGAATGCCGCATTCCCCATCAGGTGCGATACACCACGTCTTTGCAGGGAGATGCGACTAAACAAATCGACAGTCCTTCTGAATCCAAGAAGTCTACCCCCGTGGGCGCCATCGTGGGCGGTGTCGTGGGCGGTGTCGCTGGCCTCGCACTTCTTGCGGGTGCAGTGTTCTGGTGGTGGCGCCGCAAACATCCGCGGCGCAGCGCATCTCCCATGCTCGAGCCGTTTGACGGCGACAAACTTGTTGATCCGAACTACCAGCCGCCCGCGAACGCCGAGGGCGCGTCAAGTGCGCCTGCCCATCGTACTAACTTCACGGTCGAGCCGTTCATCGATTCACCGGGTCGTACTTCCCAGCATCCGATGTCGTGGCCGCAGTACAATGGTTCACAAGAGACTGGCTTGAGCGGTACTACATTGCCATACACCGGCGATAAGGCACGCCAGTCGGTTGGATTAGTCCCACGGGCTCCAGTCGGCTATAGCTCGAAGCTGGCTCGGATGAATGCCCCTCCACCGAGACCCGCTGGTGCGTCTTCGCCCTCTACCATGTTGAGCGTAGGCGACCGCGCGTCGAGCGTAGACACGGGTGGTCCAGAGCAGGACTTGTCGACATTAGTCAACCAGCTTGTGAACAACGCGCTCCGGCAACATGGGACAGTGCCGCCCGAGTACGAGGAGAGCGTCGCCGCGCCGCGGGGCGAGAGCCGATTGAGTGCACATCCTGTCGATGACATTCCATGACCTTCGTGGCCTCGATCGTCGCCACGACCTTGTCTGTTTCGTGTTTGTGTGCGGACCTCTGCTTCCCTTACGAGACAATGATATTTATTTCATTTGTCGATACATTGTGCACCTATCTGGCGTCCTCGAACACTTCGTGCAAGTTCGTCAATGGCAATGCATTTCAGTAGTTCGAAAACGTTGCTTACATTCTAGTCGAGTAGCGTGCGTGAATAAAAGTAGTTCGGCTGTTATCCGCCGACTCCTGCGATACGGGATGGCCCGTACGATCCCTGATCAAGGCCCTTGCTATTTCCCCACACTCCGAGGACGTGGCGTGAAGTGCGTCGATGTCGACATCGGGTGGCAGCCACTGAACGACGACGGTGAGCGCACGTCCCAGAAACTCCACGCTTTGTGTCGAGTATATTGTTCGGAATATAGTCGAAAATGTAGTCGAGCAGGCGTTTGTTGGAGCCCGTTTCGCGACGGTATATGATCGGACTAGTGAGGGGAATGTAGTCGTCACACCCCATGCCGGGTGGTACATAACACGCGTGAGCGACATGGCGGCACTTCTCGTAAAGATGTATCGGCGGCGCAGCAACAACCTAGGGACACTGGTGTATAACGACAAGAATGATATTCCATAGTACGGTGTCAGAGACAAAGCGGGCAGTGATGGGTCAGATGGTATATGAGCTGTACATGAGAGGGACTATTCCGCGCGAGTGCCAATGATGAGAGCATGAAGCAAGTTTGGGATCTGACGCGGCGCTCCCCATCAACCGCGTCGGCCACGCCAGTCAAAGCAAAGCACTGTGTTTCTAAGATTGACCATTCGGTAGACTCCGGTGTGGCAAGCACGGCTGTATTATAAGCAAGCACTCTGATATCGGGCAAGGTATATCGTCGCAGAAACGGAGTTGAACAAGAGTCGAAGCAGAGCACAGGTCCGGCCGAATATTGCCGCCCGTTGCCGCCCGCGTTTTCGCATTCCCACGAGCAACGGTTGTGTTAGTCTTCCTTCACGATGTTTTTGCTCTCGACTTCCATGGTCAATTTGACCCTTGTTATATACGTCGGCATACCCTCAGTGCAGTATCCTCGAGCCGCCGATCAAGGAGTCGAAATCAACCACACCTACGATGCTCACTCCTGGTCCCATACACTCTGCACCTATCGCAAGCAACGATGTCAATTCTCGCTCGGGGCGTGCAGCCCATCATGGGAAGGCAAGAAGCACGTCGGTGAATGAGTTGAAACCCGACCTCGTTCATGCGCCGCAACGCTTCGGCGTATCTCTCGTCAACTTCTTGCTGATAGTCCCGTCGGTTCCGCTGCGCTGTCTATTGACATTGGACCTGGGATGCTGGAGATATAGCGTGTAGGTATCCGGATGGAGCTGGTACGAACGTCGGCTATTGGCGAGCGCGCTATGTATCAGAATGCACGCCAGTGCCCCATCCCTCCAGAATTCCCAAGCGCAATGGCACCGGCGTGATGTTCATCAGCACTCGCACATCGGAGCATACAGTCCGGGGTCATTCATACAGCACAAACTCCCTATTAAGTGCTTTGAACTGGTTTCTGTACCAGATGGGCTGCGACCTCCGTTCTTGAGTCCGATCCCTCGTCGGCGTACTTATCGTGCAGTTATGCCTGTCTTCGCAACATCCAACCCAGATTGGGCTCCCAGCGAGCCATACAGTGCTCTGCAGAACGAACGCGGACTCTACATCGGCCAACTGGTATCATGGGGTGCATGGGGTGCGTATCCCGAACGCTCGATATTTCACGATGTCTGACTGGATCGTTCCAGGCGTACTTCTGGCGGTGGGCATTCAATGCGTTGCTGTTCTGTGGCGCAACGTCAGACGAGGCAAGGGGCGGCATGTTTACCTGCTCGTCTACGTTATCGTGATCACGGCTTTGGCCACCGCGGGCGTCGCTATGACTGCGAAATGGCAGCAGACCTACCTTATCGATCAGCGCAATTACCCCGGGGGTCCTTTGGCTTACTATGTGAAGTTCGCCGTCAATCCGCTATCGGTTGCCGGTCGTTTTTGGTGAGCCAGTCTTCATATTGTGCGTACGACCCTGAGTTGACCAGGATGATAGCGCGTTCATCATCAACTGGATGGCCGATGGCCTTTTGGTACGTTGGTACGCATGCTCGAATGCGCCGCCAACTGACATTGGCACAGATCTGGCGCCTCTATGTCATCTACCAAGGAGCATTGCTGTTCGTTACCCTTCCGACTTTGACCTTCCTCGCCTCCTTTGGTATGTCCGCGCCAATATACTGCACCACGTCCACTACTGACTGCGTTGAACAACCTCCAGCGATGTCTATCGTCGAGCTCGACGCAGTCACGCGACCTAACTCGTCCATCTTCGCGTCAACTAGCGTCAACTTGGGCCTCATTTATTGGTCGCTCTCAATTGCTGTCAACGTTCTTGTCACGCTCCTCATCGTCGCACGCGTCTACTTCGCTCAGCGCGCCCTCTCTCGGGCCCTGGGAGTCGAGCGCTCAAGTCATTCAGACAGGTTGTACACCAACGTGTCTGCTATGCTCATCGAGAGTGCGGCTCTGTACACTATTCCGGCCATTATCTTCCTCGTGGGATACTCGCTGCAGATCACATTGCAATTCACCGTTGGGCCACTCGAGTGCATTCAGGTACGCCTTCTCTTCGCATCGCGAGGTCAGGTACTAAGCGCATACTACACAGGGCATAGCTCCGTTACTCATCATCCTCCGAGTCGCGAACGGAACAGCATACACTTCCGCGCCTATCTCTGAGACTTCACGCTCCCAATCTTTACCTGGGATCCGTTTCATGCGACAGAGCCACACGGAAGATGAGCCCGAGTCGCCAATGCAGAGCCTTTCGACGCCTGCTGTTCGCGTATCGCTGGCCAAAGGGGACGGCGCAAAGCGATCGGCTTCACGCTCAGAAGGCGAACTGACATCGTGTCCCGCAAGTTCGTTCGAGACTCGCTAAACTACATTCTTATTCATGTATTTGGTATCGCAGCTCTCGAATGATAGTGATGTTGTGCATGCGAACCCGAAGTACTGCAATATCCCTCTTTACAAATAGTACTTAGCACATCACAAGTCGAACACATAGCGCAGCTTCTTTGGTGCGGAACGATTCAGTTGATTGGGGCCCATACGCCTGCTAGCGGGCCCGCACGAGCGACAAGCTCAGCGGTCGGCGGCACGGCATCTGCCGCCGTGAACATTCCAGGGGCGGGAACAGCGCGCGCCTCGAGATCGGCGGTCGAGGGCACTACGTGCGTCGCGGTGAACATGCCCGGCAGAGGAATGGCACGAGGATCGAGATCTGCTGTTGGGACCACGGCGCTAGTCGAGAGGAACATGCCCGGGACCGGCACTGCACGTTCATCTAGCAAGGCGGGTGTCAAGAGCTAAGTCACGACACTCTTATGAGATATGAGAGCTCATGAACTGACCGATGGGTGCAGCAGAGCAGATGAGTGCCATGGCAACGACAATGATGTTGCGGGTAATGGTGGTGCGCATAGTGTAGACTGGTAAAGCGATGCTGCAGGGGTCGGGGGGATGAAATCCATCCTTTATAAAATCACGTCAGCGTCCCTCCAATACTTCCGTGAGTATTCGGACTACGACTCAGAAGCAATGCCGACACGGTCGTCGCACCCTCATCGGAAAGCCCCCCTGGCCAATGCTGACTTGGGCACGAGTTCGGCACCGCTGCTCTCAGTAACGACTAGTCCAAGAGCCCTATGAAGGGAAGGTATGCATGTTGGAATGCAAGATAGGCGTGCAGCTCGATTGTATGCGTCGGTCATCGTTAAGAGGCCGGTCTGAGGTGGGATATGCCGTGAACACTTGGAGCTTCTACCTCGCGGACGTATCGTGCGAGTCGTATCAGACTAGCGCTAACTTCAGATGGAAGTGAGAGTAGGCATAGATCGCGTACTCTTTAGAACTTAGAGGTGTGACATGGCAGCCACGGCGTTCTGGAGCAACTGCTGAGCAAATGACATAGCCTTCAACGACTGGTCAGAGGTCCTGGACATTTGGACGACCACTTCGATGATTGGTTGATCGGGAACAGAGGCAGCAATTGAGCTCTTCCCAGCTCGCGCATAGTATCGGTCTACGGTATCATCACACGATAGAGAGACTGGCTCCGACGTTGGGAGGTGACACGATTCGACGGCATGGTGGTGGTCGCAGACAGTGAGACAAGTGCGAAAGAGCGCGCGTGTGCGTTCCGGAGTCCGTGGTCCGAGAGAAGGCGACCCCTTCTCTTCTCTTCCCTCCATGGCCATCTCCTTCTCTTGATCATGATGAATGTACGAATCCGTGTCTTTCGGTCTTTTGACTGGATGCGTCTCCTGTGGCCGGGCGACCCGAGCCAGCCTGTGAAACCAGTCGCGTCGTGAATGTATCGACCAGCGCTCAGTTCATGGGATATCGCCGAGCAAGCTAGTCTGGCGAGAGTCTGCTAGCGCCTGGCTTCGCATAGCCCATTTGACTTGAATATACCATTGCTAGGACTGCGCTTGCACTTCTTCTGCCATTCACGCCCAGCCGTCATGTCGTCCGAGGGCAAGCATCCGAACGTGAACTACATTCTTGACTCCGGTCCTGCCGAGATCAAACGGTACGTCTCACTATCCTCTTCAGACCTTACACGAGCTTGACACCAATATAGACTCTCTGAGCAGCACTTTTTCATCAAAGCCCTCTTCGACAACCCCGACCTCTTACCCGCCGCGGTCGACCGTTCGAAGATACGCCGTGTACTTGACGCTGCCGCCGGGACAACAGCATGGGCACTCGACCTCTCAGACCAATCCTTCGCCTCTAAATACGAAATATATGCGTCTGACATCACGCTATCGAAGTTTCCGCCGGGTGAAGTCTTGCAGAGGGCACGTATCAGGACGTTCCAGCAGGACCTGACGGAGCCGTTCGCAGAGGACATGAAGAACACTTTTGATCTGGTGCATATGTCTGCGCTTGTGTTCGCTCTGACGGAGGAGGGGTGGAAGAGGATGTTGAGGAACGTGTATGATGTGCTGGGTGCGTGGGCTGTATTTGCTTTGAGAATTTCCTGTCAATTGACTTGTACGATGTTTGCAGCGCCAGGGGGGTATCTTGTTATGGCGGACTCGGACCTGCTACTCTATACGGCAGACGAGCCTCCCCCGCAAGATGGGATACCGCACGACGTCGAGGCGCGCAGGAGTGGACCGAGTACCATTCACAGTATCAACAACATCATGGCCGGCCTTGCGCTCGAACGAGGCTTCGTGATAGGGTACGTGCATACTTCCAAAGATGGCGCTCACGATCTTTCTCTGACTCTCACATCTGTATAGTCTCTCGTATCGCCTCACAGAGATGCTCTCCGAAGCCGGCTTCACCGTCCTCTCTCGCCAACGCGCCCTAGTCCCCAACGGTGCACTGCTCGAGTTGCAGCCTAGCGTGCGCGGCAACTCCCTCGCGCATTTCCGGAAACCCGCGGCAGAGAACGGCTTCACGACATTGGACACCGTTACGAGCGTACTCCTAAACAAGGGCGAACTGGAAGCGCCGAGAGGCGTGGCTATCCGGGATGAAGATGGACGGTCGAAGTTCATGGATGATGCGAAACGGGCTATGAACGAAGGGATGCTTGTTGTAGCTTCGGAATGGGTTGCTCAGAAACGCGATCTCAACGGAAGCTAGGAGATGAGATCTGAAACTCGACCAAAACGAGCACTGCTTGGTGGCGCAAAAGCGTGTGGTTGTGGGCCCCAATCCTCGCTCGCATGATAAGTTGAGGCGCTGGAGATAAGACAGGTTGCCGCAGGGTGTCCTATCAAGCGTGGTCCATCGCCATTTTGGTATCTGCTATTGCTCGTTTTCACTCACGATGCTGGCAAATATGCACTCTTTCTGGGACAGGTTACGTCATCAAGCGTGAATGTTTGACAGCGGTGTTGATGGAAACCCTCGTAGTCTCCAGACGAAGCCCCCGCGGCGTGGCAACGCTCGTCGCTTGGAGCGTATATATAAGCCTGGCGGTTTGTAGACCCAACTGGTGTAAGGTCATTGAGCTCTTTCGCGTCTTACTGCTGTGGCACCCGAACCATGACAGGTTTGATCATCAATCCCGCCTGGGCGCCTGCGGAGTCGCACACCGATCTAGTGACAGAGCGCGCTCTGTTCATCGGTCTTGTGCTAGCATGGGGTACATGGGGTCTGGCGCTTCCCTATCTTCTTTACGAACTTATTTGTCTGACAATCATACCTAGGGATTCTCATTGTCGTGACCGTATTCTGCGTCAAAGTACTCAGGCGTAACGTGCGTCGGGGGAAGACTCAACGCCGGTTCCTGATGGGATATACCCTTACCATCTTCTTACTCTCGACCACCAGTCTCTTCCTTGAGACAAAATGGACGCAGACGTATCTCATCGACCAGCGCGACTACCCTGGGGGCCCCCTGGGCTACTACACAAAGTATGACGCCAATCCATTCGCCTCAGGAGATCGTATCTGGTGTGTCCTCTTCAAATGCAATGCCGAGGTGATTATTGACAGTCCGTAGCGGTGCGATAGTCACTTGCTTGGCAGACGGGCTTCTCGTGCGTCTGCGATCTTCTGCTACGAAAGTGTCAAGATGAAACTAGCTCTAGATCTACCGGGTCTGTGTGATCTACCAACGACGCATGTTCGTCGTCTTGCTTTCCATCCTCGCATTTCTGACTTCCTTATGTGCGTTCATTCCTGCCTCTTCCAGAGATATGCCATTCACCTAGATCCAGCGATGTCGATTGTCGAGTTATGCGCCATCACAAGCCATTCTCTCGTGCACAGCGCTCAAGGCACACGTCTCGTCTTAGTCTCCAAGTCTCTCTCAATCGCGATCAACATCCTTGTGACGATACTCATCGTCACCCGTCTACTCGCCGCTCGACGCAATCTTGTGAAGAACTTGAACGGGAATGCACAGCAATCAGGAAGGCTTTATATCAACGCGTCTGCCATTCTTGTCGAGAGTGCCACTCTGTATACGGTACCGGCTATCCTGTTCATCATCGGCTTCTCTCTGCAAGATTCATTGTCCGTCACTGCGGACGCCCTCTTGTTCATACAGGCGAGTCCGTCCCGGGTTTGTATTGGCAGTCCGAGCTGATACAAGCCCCACAGGCGATCGCGTCGCTACTCATCATCTTGCGTGTTGCAAATGGGAGTGCATACTCGGCAACTACTACAAACAGTAGTTCTGATGTTTCTGGATCCGCCGAACATGGACGCAGCATAACAAGCATTCGCTTCGCTCCAAGCGTGCAATCTACGCGGTCACCATACAATGGGCACTACGAGATGCAAGATTCGAAAGGTATACAGCTGCCGATGCCTGCAATGTTTCTGGACGATCCAAACAAGGGCGCTCAAAACTCTGCGTCATCTATTGAGCCTTACCCCACATTCAGAGAGGTATCGCGGCTGCCGAAGTGAGAGCCGATATGCTTGTCTACTCGTGCGTATCGTTATTGTATATCCATTCTGATATCATGTATATGTGTGTTTCCACTCGATGTTCAAACTGCAATGTGACCTAATCTAAAGGGAATAGCTGAAGTGGAAGAAGAGAGCCGAAGGCGGATGCAAGGCTGTCAAGCACCACTAAGATTGTAAGGTTCAAACGATTGAACAGAATGGCTTGCACCCTTATTCTGACTCTCCAGTACTACCACTGGTGTTGGTAGTTCGAGTGTCTTGGAACACGGTCCCAACCCTTGTTCAACATCCAGTGTCGTAGACTGTGCGGGTGGCGCAAAGCGCATACTAACCATGGGATATGAGCGTTTCCCGTTGGAAGTTACTCCGAACGAGGTGATCTTGGTCACTGTGGAATATGCCCTTCCATTCGCGACTCGCAGAATGATGAGAAGCGGGGCGATACCCTACATGCCTGTCTTTGAGTCTTGCACTGCACCCTCAACAAAAATCGCCATACCTGTATGACCTCAAGTGCGTGTATGGCAGCATTTAGTACATTCCCGAGGGAGTAACCGACGAGAAAGATGATTGCTGGGACGGTATACAACATCGCGCTCTCGACGAGGATGGCCGAGATGTTTGCGTAGATCTCACCGGACTGACGCGCAGCCTTTCCCAATGCTTCAGTGAGCCGGCGGCGAGCGCCGAGTAGGCGGGTGACGATGAGTACAGTGACCATGACATTGACGGCGACCGACAGAGACCAGTATATCAGTCCATGCTCGACGCTCTTGTGCTGATAGATGGACGAGTTTGGGCGCGTGACGATGTAAAGCTCGACGATAGACATAGCTGAGTCGAGAGTCAATCGAGATTATAGAGTGTTGTGCGGGGAAGGGACATACAGAATGATGCTAGGAATGTCAAAATCGGGATCGCTACGATGATCTCCCGCCCGTATATTACATAGACTCGGTATGTCTGACGAGCTCGTTTAGCTCAATAGCGCGTCAAATGAACTTGAAACGTACTAGCAGCCCGTCTGCCATCCAGTTAACCATGAAGTCGCTGTTCATCTGTTAGCGACGAGATCATCACGCGGTTCGATGTCCGTGACTTACCAGATGCGTTCCCCAGTGGTGATAGGATTGGCACCGTACTTGATGTCATACGCTATCGGGCCACCCGGGTAGTTTCGTTGATCAATTGTGTAGATCTGCTGGTACTTGGTTGTAAGAAGGAGGCCGGCAGTGGCGATGGAGGTGATCATTATGACGTATGCGAGGAGGAATCGATGCTGAGTATTGCCCCGTCGGATGTTACGCCAAAGCACATTCACGCAGAGTATGGCCACGGTGAAGAGTATCCCTACAAGCAGATCAGTCTCATAGATCTCGATGTATGTGTCATAAGGGAAGAGCGAACCCCATGAACCCCAAGCCAGTAACAGCCCGACGAATTCGGCGCGCTCTTGCCTGAGAACACTATGCGGTTCCACTGGAGCCCATGCGGGATCGGTGACTACCCTCGACATTATGTCAGTCACGGTGATAGCAAGAGATGGAGCAGATGGAGGGTCGACGTCGACGAAGATCTGGGAGAGGATACACGCGGGAAGATGCATTTAAGTATGGTGCGCTCAATACAGAGAGCTTCGCATCCGTAACGTCGCCATCGAAGATGCTATGTAGGTTGATGGTGATCCGTATCCTGCCATCAGCAACGTATGACAGGCTTATTTCCCATACGTAGAGCTCGAGAGCTGTGCTAAGACCGTCGTGATTAGCTGAATGGACTCAGAGTGTATTCTGGAGGGTCTGCGTACTTGGAATGTCATGGCAGTGGTGTAGAAGTGGGCGGCAAGGCTATGCTTAGAGTGCTTCCGTTCTACAAACGTATATCGTGGAGCCCTCAGTCGATCATCATTCGTGTCTTCTATGATCATGAGAAGCGGGCAAGGGTAGAGTGAGGCCGGTCAAGGGACATTTGTGTGCGACAGCTATAGGCACCTGCCCCCACGATGCGCTCAGAGAGGTGCTAGCCCAGACAGGTCCACAACAAGCGTAGGCGTACTGTGCATCATATCTACGGGAATGTGCGTCAAGAAGCCGCTGAACGATGCGTATGGCATGACAACGTACCCAAAACGTTCTACTAGATTGCTCCTGGGTGATACCATGTCGCTGCCGTCCGACGTACTTTTCCAGCACATTGTGTCGGTCCGATCCCAAGGTACGTGTCGAAAGGCGCCACTGCACAGGGCCATTGAAAGATGCGTCGAACCAGGTATCATGCATCCTGCGAGGGTACGACGTCCGCGTAGCCGTCATGAGTAATACAAGATACTACAGGCTAGAGGCCACGGCGGAGTCGGACCCGGCTGGAGCTTCTGTTGCAAGTAAACAGGGTATTCATCACGATCAAGTCCCCATCGTGGTGGTTGAACGTTGAACGACTGGAGCTTGACAGAAATTCGAAGCACGGCTCGGGCGCCAGGCCGGCTCGCACGCTGCGCCTCGTGGCAGGAAAGCGCTGCATGTTGCCACTGTTTGCTAGGTACGTCGACCTTCTCCTTACGGCGTAAGTGCCCAGTGAGAGAAAGACGGGGACATTGAGCAAGGGCGTGAGGAGGCAAGATAGAGAAAAGGGCATCGCCCATCAAAGAGAGGCGTATACAGGCTCATGAAGTGGGCAGCCAGGCGTGTGAGGTAGGCCATTCGGCCCGAACTCACGATGAAAGGCATAGACGATACTGCAGAGCTGTAGAGCCCAAGTAGAGCCTACCGCTGGTAGACAGTTCTATCCGTCCAATTGCATATTGCAACGATCTTAAATTTGATTCGTTATGCGGGTATATCGTATCTATCCTAATAAAATCCGATACAAAGCTCATGAGATCGAACACCGTATATCCTCATATCTCTGAAGCGGAGTAGTCGATTCCTACATGACTCCAACTGCATAAACGACAATCTCCGTGCACGGATGTGTCAGTAGTCCTGCTCCCACGAGTCCGATCTACTGGCGCCGCCGACTGAGTCGAGTGCAGAAGTAGAAGGCCGAGCATCGGCACGACGGTGTTTGGGAACTGCATGGCTGCGGCATATCCTCACAGAAAAACCATTGATCTTCAAGATCTGGTCATTCTCGACGGCTTTCTCTGCACCCTCCAGAGAGGCAAAGTTGACGTATCCATATCCGAGTGGTCGCGAACCCCCTCCGCGCGCAACCCGCGCGCTCGCGACCTCCCCAAACCGGCCAAACTCGTGAGCAAGCCGGTCATCGCTAATTTCGTGTGCGAGGCGGCCGACGAAGACTGTCCGCGTTGATTCAGGGACGGTCTCTATGGGTCGAGGAGCATAGTCGAGGGCCAAGGGTCGCAGAGCCGGTGCACGAGAGATGTGCAGGTGGTGGCCAGCAAGTGTCTTTTCAGCGCCAAGAGCCCTTTCAACCGACTCTGATGATTTGAACTCGACGTAGCCGTACCCGACCGGTCTGCCTGTGCTGAGTACCCTCCAGATGCGCGCGAAGATGATCTCTCCGTAATCCGCGAACTCGGCATGCAACCTGTCCTCGTCGATTTGGGGAGGAATATTGTAGACTCTGATTCTCCGCGCGGCCTTTTCGCTCTTCACGGCGTGCTCGTCCCATATCGATAGTGCGTCTTCCCTCTGCGTAGCGCGGTCGACGTGTAGATATTTTTCATCAAATAACTTCTTGCCGTGGAACTTCAACGCCTTGGGAACGGAAGCCGACGAGGTAAATCGAATGAAGCCATATGCCCAGTTCTTCTCCTCGCCCGGCAGACTGGAAAGCAACATGATATCGGAGACCTCCCCGCACGCAGAGAACACTGCTTTCACTCGTTCGCGTTCCACGCCAAACGGAAGGCATCCAACCATAATCGTGTCTTGGAGTTCGAAGAGCGGTTGGACGAGCATCCTGCGCTTCAGGACCTCCGTGCCATTGAGCGCCAAGGCCTTATTGGCCGACTCTAGCGAGGCAAAACGGACGTGGCCGGCTATGGATAATCCTTTGTACGATGTTTCTTTCAAGTTGACCCCAAGTATACGCCCGAACTGCGAGAAGAACCCGCGGACCTCGTCCTTGTCGAAATCGGCATTCAGGCCGTTGAACGCGATGGTGGTGGAACGTCGCAGGTTCGAATGGCCTGTGCTCGGGACCGCTTGCGTCGAGTACGTCACGCGTGCAAGTCTGGAGGCAGTCCTCATAGTCTGACTGCTGTGCGTTGAATCTCGATAGGAAGATGCGCTCGTGAGGACCTGTCGCGTGTGAATCGCGGTCGCCCTCCTCCCGACAACACGGCAAAGCGGCAACGCGGCAAGACCGGAGCATAACGATAGAGATGACATTTCATGTTATTATAGTAGACACAATGCGGGTTCGTAGCTGGTCAAGTTGATTGTGGGATGCACATGAGGGGGGGCGGGAACGATGATGAGGGCAGGAAGCAGGTTTGGAAGCGCGGCGCGGCGCTTTCGCCTTTCCGGCCGTCCGGCCAGGCGCGTCGTCGAATCGTGCACTATGTAATATCGTGCACACGCGGCCGCGCGACTCGAGGCTCGCACCAACCGACCCCGCTACACTCCTGCAGCTGCACGATCCGGCTCTCGATGCTGTCTTCGACTACGAGCTTGAGCGCACGAGGCGGTGTTGGCCGAGTCTAAGGGAGAGATGGCGTAATGATACATGGCTACTATCTTATAACTTGATGCCCGTTGTAACTGTGTGCACATACATATGTCTGCTCGACATCGAGTAAGAAGTGTGTCATCCTGGAAACCTTCCCAATGTAGTGTTCGTATCCGTATCACATCAATCGGTCGTCTTCCACTCGTATCGTACCGCATGAGTAAGTATCAAAGCCCGATTATTGAGCCTGAGGCGCTCGTGAAGGGCGTTGTTGACCGAATTAGGCGACGCAAACAGTACATGCGCATAACATCGTCCCTCCGCTGGACCGGTGCGGGGCGCATGAACCTTGACGTCGAGGATCTCCCCGCACGAAGCGAAGAGCGCCCTGACCTGCTCAGGCCCGACGTCCTGAGGAAGCCGCGCGACACAGAGCGTGTTGACAATCTCATACTGAGGATAAAGCGCGAACGTCGATCCGAACTTCTCCTTCCAATCGTAGGCCAACGCCTTATCGACGGACTCCTGCGAGGTGAAGGTGGCGTATCCGGATCCGAACGAGCCGACGTCGCGATCCTTGATGCGGAGCTCGGTCATATCGCCACACGCATGAAGAGCTCTCATGAGTCTGGTCCTGCTTATATTGGGCAGTAGGCCCTTTAGGCGGACTATGAGGGAACGACGACCGAGCGCAGGCTGAGGGGATGGGTCCGTGGCTTGCGTGGAGTAGGTCGCTCGTCTTAGCCGTAGAGTGTGTTCACGGAGTGGTAATGCAAGGACACGGCTCGATGAAAGCCTCGGAGGGATCATCGCCGAGGGTCCCAGAGCGTGCGCCTGTCGAGATATATGACAAGCATGCGCACGCGCGGTCGTGCTCGCCACCTTCCTCCCAGCTAGTACGCGCCCGACTGGCGATACAAAAAGACCAGTGATCGAATGAGAAGGCGCCATGTCGTGGATTCGAAGCAGTCATATAATGTTCGCCAACTTCAAGGAGACTACGATAGCGACATGGGAGGCGCTGTGAGGTTGCAATGTCACGGGAAGCACATTCGGAATTCCGGCCCGGCGCAACTTCTCACAGCATACATATCCGGATCTATTCTTGAGATTTTGAGATTCAATACACCCATGCACTGGCTCTCGGATGCATGACAGGTCGATCATAGGACGAATTCAGATCTGCCCATACAAAGTAGGATTCACTGAAGTCGGGTCTGTGTATTTCGCGGCATAGGGCGGCAATCTACTGTAACTCAATTTACTGAAAGTACATCGCGTAGCACTATCCCTATTGATGATGTCCTTCAAAGAGAGTTGATGAATACAACAACGCTGTTGGCCTGTCAATCAAGCCCTGGGGGTAGGATAGAAGTAAGAGGTAGAAGGTGACACACGGCGGTTCCGGGCAGAAAGACGCAAGAGAGCGATCATGACCACTCAGTAATCCCACTCCCAGGCGTTTGGATCGTTGGGATTGCTATTTGGACTACCCACTTCGGAAGAGGATAAACCTCTACGCAGGTGAGACTGTATCTTGACCGCGAAACCGTCGAGCCGGAGACTCTGATCGCATTGCACGGCAAGCTCAACCGACTCTGGCGAAGCAAAGTCGACGTAACCATATCCGCGTGATAGGCCTGTCGCACGGTCCTTGGGAATAAGGACGCTCTCAACGGGCCCAAATTGTTCAAATGCGCGCCGGAGCATTGTACCGTCCACGTCGCGGGTCAGACGGCCGACAAAAATCGACTTTGTCGCCAGACGAGAACCGGTATCGGATAATACATCCCCAAGGAGTACCTTGTACTCTAAGGCGGTAGGGCGAAATGGAGGAGCACGTTCGACGCGAATGATATGGCCGGCGATCTCCGTCGCATGGAACGATAGCGCCTTATCCACAGAGATAGGCGACTCGAACTCAACGAACGCAAATCCTAGAGAACCTCCAGTTCTATAGGTCCTCAGGACGCGAGCCCTTCGGATCTGGCCACACTGCGCGAAGATAGCCGCGAGTCGCTCATCGTTGATTTGGGGAGGGAGTGCGCTGACACGGACCGTCCTGGGTATCTCATCGGCGCTCGCGGCGTAGTCATCCCATATCGTGCGATCTTCCGCCAGCTGCACCGTGCGTTTAACGAGCAAGCGGCGTCCTGCGATCTCGAACTTCCCGCGAAGCGCAGCGTCAACGGAGTTTGACGACGAAAACCGAATAAAAGCGTGGCAGCGACCCGCGGCCTGACCAGCAAGAGTTGGATGGATCTTAATGTCGGTGACTTGCCCGCAAGAGGAGAATAGCGCCGTAACCCGATCTGGCCGAACCTCCGTAGGAAGGCCTCCGACAATGATTGTATCGTCGAGCTCATACTGAGCGTAAAGCTCTGCTTTTCGTCCGAGCACGTCCTTGAAATCGCGACTCAGAGCGTTGTCTACGGACTCCTGCGAGGCAAACGTGACGTATCCAGACCCCCAAGCGTCAGGGTCCTTCTGGCGGGCTCTGGTCTTGCTCTCGATGACCTGTCCGCACACCGAGAGGGCATCCGCGAGTCTGTTATCGTCTACATCTGGGTGTAGGCCTCGAACATGGACGATGAGAGAGCGTCGAGTGAGCACGGGAGACGAGCTTGGGGCTTGCGTCGAATACGTCGCAGGTCTGAGTCGATACCCGTTTCCATAGAGACGGGTAATAGGCGCATTGTGAGTTCGATAGTTGATGTGCCTCTGAGTGGGTTGCCGTGTGGATGTGCTCGCAAAGAATCGCCGCTCGGCATTCAGGCCGTTGAATGCGATGGTCGTGGAACGCCGCAGGTTCGGGTGGCCTATGCTCGGGACCGCTTGCGTCGAGTACGTCACGCGTGCAAGTCTGGAGGCAGTCCTCATAGTCTGACTGCTGTGCGTTGAATCTCGATAGGCAAATGCGCTCGTGAGGATCTGTCGCATGTGAACCGCGGTCGCCCTCCTCCCAACAACGCGCCGAAACGGCGACGCGGCAACACCGGCGAGTAGCAGTAGAGATGACATTTCATGTTACTGTAACAGATACAACGCGGGTTCGCAGACGGTCAAGTAAATTGCGGGATGGACATGAGCGGGACGGGTCGACGATGAGGGCAAGAAGCATGTTCAGAAGCCCGGCGCGGCGGGCCGCGCAACCGACGCGCAACTCCCGCTACACAGTATACCGAAAGGGCTTCACTAGATGCATGTATACTATCAAGCCAGAATCAGACTAGATACAAGTTATAAGCAGACGGAAACAGACCAGAACCAGAGTCCGAGCCGATAAAGTATGCATAAAGTACACGCGCGACCCACAGAGTCGCCCCGAGAAAGCATTATACGAGCATACACTGCGCTCAAAGCACACCCAAACCAGCGCAGAAACCGCGCCACTCAAAGCCTGAACAAAAACCCCAAATCCTCCGCCGTCAGCCTCCCCATCGCCTGATCGTCCGTACTAAGCGTCGCATCGACCATCGCGCTCTTCTTCTCCTGCAGCTGCACGATCCGGCTCTCGATGCTGTCTTCGACCACGAGCTTGATGGCGCGCACGGGGCGGTGCTGGCCGAGGCGGTGGATGCGGTCCATGGCTTGGAACTCGACGGCGGGGTTCCACCACGAGTCCATCACTGTGTGTGGGGGATTGGTGAGCTAGGGTGAAGGGGAGAGAGAGGGAGGGAGGCGACGCACGGTAGACGCGAGAGGCCTCTGTCAAGTTCAGCGCCACGCCGCCCGCCTTGAGACTAACAAGGAACACCGTAACATTCACATTGTTCACTGCCAATACCATCAGCACCCATCCCATCCTCATCTCGCTCATCCAATGCAAAATACTTACTGAAATGCTTGATAGTAGCGTCCCTCGCCTGCGGACTCATCGTCCCCTCCAGCCTACACACCACGAACCCCGCCCTCTGCAGCCTAAACGCGATCAGATCCAAAAAGTTCACAAACTGGCTGAACACGATGCTCTTCGTCGTCGCGTCCTTCCGCCTCAGCCCGTCGAGCTCTTCAACCAACGCCTCTATCTTGGTAGAGGAGCGCCACGTATCCAGATCCAAGCGCCCCAGTATCCCCTGCCTGTTTTTCCCCGGAGCCTCGCCAAAGTCGATCGGCTCGGCCTCGAGGTCGATGGTGAGCGGCACATGGCACACCGGGCAGTCCGGCTGCACGTCGTCCGCCGTGCTCAGGTACTGCCGTATACACTCCCGGTCGAACACGTGCTTGCACTTCGCGGCGATCGCGTCCTCGGCCGTGTCGTGGCACAGGCGGCACACGGCCGCCTCGTCGTCGGCGCCGGGGATGTACAGGCCTGCGTTTGTGCGCGAGCGGAGGACGAGGTCGGGGTGGCAGGCCATTTGGCGCATGCGGGTGAGGAGGGAGAAGACGTTTGAGTAGTCTGATTGGGCGCGTGCGATGAGTATATGCGCTAGACAAAGAGAGAGGAGGAAAGCGCTTACTGTTCAAGAGCGTCCCGGCATCGACATACGTGCTGAACTCCCTCTTCGCATCGCTAAACAAACTCAAATACAGCTCCTTCTCCTCCGGACTGAACCAGTCCCTCCGCACAACGATCGTCCGCGGCGGCAGCCCCAGATCCTCCGCCTTCTGCAGCTTCGTCCTCCTAAGCATGATCCGCTCCAGCAGGATGTGCAGCTTCTTGAACGCCAGACGGCCGGGGCCGGAGAAGGAGTGCTTCTGGATGGGCGTGAGGATCTCGTTGTTCCAGAAGCAGGTGTGTTGCATGGGCGAGTGGCCGCATTCGTCGCAGCCCTTTTTGTCGGCGAAGCGCCAGTGGAGGGATTTGCAGGGGCAGCGTTTGCCTGGACGCCGTCGTGTTAGCAACTGTCGTTCGTGAGGGTGTGAGGGAGGGCCTTACAGTAGTAGAACGAGAACGGGTCGACTCCGAGGAACCGGACGAGCGAGTACAACTCGCCAACACGGTTCTGGAGCGGTGTACCAGACAAGCACCAGCGGTACTTCGCCTTGAGCGCAAACGCCGCCTTTGCCGTATTCGTCGCGCGCTCCTTGATGTTATGCGCCTCGTCGAGCTGTAATCCCGTTCAATCAGCATCATCTCGCCTTCGTAGTTTCGAGCGAAGCGGTAGGTACTCACGATAACGCGGTTCCACTCAATACAATGGACCGGACTCTTCTCCTTGACGATCACGCCCTTCCTCTTCCACCCGGCCTCCTGCTTCCTGAAACAGCTCTCGACGACGGCGTACGTAGTAAGCACCACGTCGTTCTTGACAAGCTCCTTGATGTTGTTCTCGCGCGTGGCGCCGTGCCAGACGACGACTTTCATGCCATTGGTGTGCGTTTCGATCTCGTTGCGCCATTGCATTACTGCGACGGTCGGACTAGATAGGGTATGGTAAGGCGAGAGAAGAGAGGGAGCAGGAGAAGGGGACGTACGCGATGACGAGGTTCGGACGGCCGGGCTCGGAGACCATGAGCGCTATCATCTGGATAGTCTTGCCCATACCCATCTCATCGGCGAGCAGACCACCGCCGTAGATGCCTAGCTCTTGCTTGCGCATCCAAAACAAAGACTCCTGCTGGAACGGTAAGAGCGTACACGACAGCCCAGTCGGCTGCTCAGCCTTGATAGGCTCAACGACGGGTACGTCGGCTTCGAGATCGCCCCATGCATCGCGAAGCTCGGGATGATGAACGCGTAGCGCGACGCTCGCCTTCTCCGCCTACAATCCCAACGCATCAGCCATCCCGATACACCCATATCCACACAAAGAAAGGACGCATACCCAAGTCAACTTCCGCCCAAGCTCCTTCCTCGCCATCGTCTCCTCATACTTCAGCGGGTTCGCATACTTGAGCCTCAACATCCTCTTCTCCACCCCGCTCAAGCCCTTCAGCTCCTCCTTGGGCGGCACCAAGCCCGTCTCTTGATCGTTGAACTTCTTCGCTCTGCCTTTGCCTTTCCCCTTGGCGCCGCGACCGCGGCCGCGCTTGGTAGTCGTCGCGAGCGCCTCTTCTTCCGAGGAGTCGATGTCGTACTCTGCGCCGCCGTTCGAGACTTTGAGGCGGCGGAGCTCGGCTGCGGCTGCAGCGCGCGCGGCGGGTGTGTCGAGCTCTTCGTCGTCGTCGACCTCATCAATATCCTCCGACGGCTCTCGGGCGCGCGACCGTCTCCTCGACGTGCTGGGCCCCTCATCGACATCCATATCCTCATCCTCCTCGTCGAAGTCACCATCATCCGCGCCAAACTCGGACCCACTATCGTCGCTCTCCAACTGCGCAAGCTCGTCGTCACTAGGCTCAAGCGCTAGCTCAGCAGCTGAATCGTACTCGAGCGTGTCGTCCGGCTGGATCTCGTCGTCGGTCGTGGGCGCGGAGGCTTTCGCTTTGCCTTTGCCCTTCTTGGCGGATGGGGTTGGCGCGGGTTTAGAGCGGGATGATGCCGCGCGCGAGGGACGCGGGCGGGAGGTGGGGATGGCTATCTCGTCGTCCGACTCGTCCTTTGACGCCGCAGCCTTGGCTTTGCCTTTGCCCTTCGAACGCGTTGAGGTGGTCTTGACGGCGAGCGCCTCTTCTTCCGACTCGGACGCGGGAACAGACGCCGGCGTCGCGCGTGCGCGCCCTCTGCCCTTGCCTTTTCCCTTGGGCTTAGCAGCGAGAGGCACGTCCTCGTCGTCGGAAGTTGCCGGGGCGGACTTAACTGTAGACTTGGAGAACGTCTGCGCCACCGTGGGTAAGCACCTACGCGCCCGTACACCAAAGAAAGCAATGCACATACCCGATTCAGCTTCGGCAGTTCAACATACGCCGTCGATCCCGTGCGCCTCTTCTTTCCCGCCGGCTTCTCATCCGGCGGCTCGTCGTCGTCCTCGTCCAGGTCCTCAGAGTCGGGCGCGACGCGCTTCTTGCCCTTCGCGGGCGCAGCGGCCCGTTTTCCCCGCGCTGACGTCCTGCGAGGCGGACTGGGCAGCTTGAGCTCGTCGTCGTCGTCGTTGGCCTCAGAGTCGGGGACGACGCTTGTAGGCGGCGAGCTGGCAGCCGTGGGCGTATAATCCGCGAGCGAGAGCGCTGACACAGGCGTCGCGAGCGCAGAGTTCGTCGTCGTGCTCGCGGCCTTGCTGCGGCGTGTCTGGCGCGCCATAGATAGAATAGATAGAGTAAAGGTGGGAAGGGGGAGGGGACGGGCTCTTTGTGGTGGTCGTCAAGAAAAGAAGCGACTTCGCGGTGAGACCCACTTTGACTTGACCTGGAACGCGCTAATAAAACGCGGTCACGTGCATGTCGCGATCCATCGCGCTACCGGATCAAACCTCGAGAAGGCGGCCGGAAGTGCCGGAGACGCGAAATTCGGAGCTTGCGCGAGACGCTCATGGTGCCTGTTCTCCAGCGTCCACTCAAGCTGTGAACGGCCGCATATAACCCATTGTTCTTATATATCGCTGCTCTGGCCGATTCTGCGCGTCATGAAGTACAAGACTGGGCGAGAGACTATGGCGAGCCGGTCGCATCAACAGTTTCCACACTACGGGCGACGATAGGCGACGATGTTCCCTCTCGAGTCATCCCCTTATGCGCTCCCTTTGACCGACCTCGGAGATACGCCAATTGCTGAACGATCTGACGGGTGAATCCGTCGCGAAGCAGATGCATGAGCAGTGCAATACCAAGTATAACAACAACAGTACAGGCGCAATTGCTTGTATGCAACGGCTCATGCTCACGGCGCCCAGGCGCGAGACGACCTCATACCAGTCCTTATAACACTACGCCTCCTCTCCGCGTCAGGATAGACAAGGTTGCCATCCTCGTCGCGCAAAACGATAGCTATACCGGCCTCAGCTCTCGCACCACTCTCACTCATCTCAAAAACGAAACCCACTCTTATTCCGCGACGCCTCAGGAAGCCCATCGTACTGATCAGGCCGCGGCAGCACGCGCGGATCGAGCACAGGGAGGACGTTATCTAGCGATGTGCGTATCGTGGCGCTCGTCCTGTCGTTCGCGACGAAGAGGACGGTGTTGATGGTGAGCAGTACGTAGACGACGATGCGGATGAGCTTCGTGTAGCGCGGTTCGGCGTTGGTAGGTTCATCCAAGGACGCAGGAAAGAGCGGGTCGAGTTCTTCGGTCTGAGGTAGGGCCTTGTAGCTCGACATGCCGGGTGGTATTCTTGGAGCTGTGAGCTCGGGGACAATCCACGAGGGAAAGATAATAAGGCAGATGAAGCCGAGGACAGACGCAGCAGAGCATTCGAGCTCACTCGACCTGTATACGTTTCGCATCAACTTCACAAGCATCTGCCATCATCATTGAGCGGATACAGCGACGCTGATCTCATGTGTATGCCTCGCGACTATTAGAAGATAACCCCACTCCAAGATCTACCAATCTCAGCCCAAGCTCCCTGCGCGCACTACGTGAGGACCAACAAACTTTGTGGGATGACACGATGGCCAGCGTGCCCGGTAGTATCTGTTTCAGTTGCGACAGTAAAGAAGCAAGCGGCCTGTTACAGACTTACAGTATGTATGAACTCTCCGGTTCTCAGACTGACGGGTTTCGTAACCGCGTGCGGCAGAGACCTTCAGGTTCTCGCGGTCATGCCGGGTCTCACGGCGACACGACGTCATCGTAGCTTATTGTAGAAGGTTGTACTTACATTGAATCACAACTCAAGCACATCTCAGTACGAAACAAAGTACAGAAACACCATACGTCAAGCCGACTTCTGCGCCACCCACTCCGACGCAACAGCCAACACTCCATCGTCCATCGCCTGTTGAGCCGCCTTCAAAAACGCCACCCGATCCTCCTCGTTATCAATCGTGACGCCCTTTGGAGCTTCAAGTTTACCCTGACTGAGAAGTAGTCTCGTAACAGCGTCCATCAACGGGTTCGGGCTCGGATTCTCAGTGACCGGTTTGCGGAAGCGCGCAAGGGAGTTCCCGTTCGCGCTCAGTTGCGTGTCCAATAATGCCCCGTTGGGGACCAGTACGCGCTGGCGCGAGAGAATCGAGAAGCCTGCCGCACGAAGCATATCTCTGAGGCGATACGAGAGGCTAAAGGGAGGTCAGGAGGGAGGTGCGTGATACCGGAAAGAACGCGTACCCTATCACGAACCCTCGTTCGCGCGCGAGTCCGACCAGGATATTGTCGATGGCGTGAACAATAGTTGGCCCGCCTATGCGCGCATCGAGGTCATGTGGGGTGCCATCTGGCGGCGGAGGATCTTCCGCCGTGTACACTATGAGGTCTGAGTCCGCTACAACGAGGTAGCCTCCGGGTGCTACGGGAGTTTGATGGGCGTTTGAAACTCAGTACGATCATGAGAAGAGGTCGTCAAGTACACGCACCCAGGAGATCGTATACATTCTTAAGCATGTTGTTCCAGTCATCTTCCGTCAGGGCTACAACGAGGGCAGCCGTGTGCACCAGGTCGAACGTTCCCTTCATATCGTCCGGAAACGGTTTCGTGAGGTCCTGTTGGAGCGTTCTGATGCGCGCTCGCTGCAAGACGTCCTCCGGAGGGAACTTCGACAGGGTGATGTCCGAGGCGTAGATCTCATACGACGAAGCGAATGGTTGGTCTGACAGGTCGAGGGCCCACGCGGCCGTCCCAGCCGCCGCGTCCAGCACACGACGTATCTTCTTGCGATCGACGGCGGCGGGTAAGAGATCAGGGTGGTCGAAGACGGCCTTGACGAAGAAATGCTGTTCAGAGAGCCTGTACCAGAATTAGCTTGATAAGAGCCATCTTGGCATCGGCGACATACCGCTTGATTTCAGCAGGTCCTGAGTCGAGGAGGTAGTTTACGTTCGGATGACCGGTTCCAGTTGTTGCCGACATTCCGACTGTGCCTACGCGTTGCGGCACTAGAGGCGCGGTTACAGTTCGGGCGATATTTATTGCATCGCATGCGACCTAGGCGACTCCGCGGATACCAGTCCTAAGTATCTGGTATTGATTGATCCTTGAGAAGTTCGCCATTCCAATGGGGTAACTGCATGTGTCGCGATAATCCGGGCGCCAGATAACACATTTGATGCCTCGTGCGCATGCCAGTTCGTGACGGCCCTCGACTAAGGTCTATATTCAGAATACCGGCGGTAGGAATTCACTAGTCCTCATCAACGGAGGAAGAGAGAAGAGGATGGAGGGAAGAGATGAGACGCGTCTTTCGTTCCCGCGCGACGCGCGTGGGTCTGACACGCGTCGCGTTTCGAGCCCCGACTGCTAGTCTACCACCACCATCATGCTACGGGCGGCCATCTCCATCGACTTCGAACCCCTCCATTCTTAATTCAAGGAGTAGATTAAATGATCAATCACCCGTTCACAACAGATAGTCTACTCGGTATCAGGGAAGAGCTCAACTCCGTCTTCGTTCACGATCCCCTTAGCTAGCCGCTCCGCGAAATTGTCGTCAAGATAATCCCGAACCTTCGTCCAATCTCGGCAGCGATGGATCATGTCCATTCCAGTCGCTCCGTGTTCCCTGAAGCCGTCATCGTGAACAACCAAGTACGACTCCTCTAGCGTGGTGTCTGCGTGGCAAAGGATGAACTCACGCAGGTAGCTGGACGAGTGCGGAAGTCAGCGTTCAGTGAAGCCTCAACACTGCAGTACATACGTGAGGCAGTGATTTGTGTGGTGCTCTACGCCGGTCCCGTTACCACCTGGCGTATATACGAGCGTACCGCTTTTGGCCGCTACATACGCATGCCGCAACACCTGTGGGATGCCTGAATCAGCGGCAAAGCACCGGCATTATATCGTGCAGAGGACCTACAGTCAAACAGTGCATCTGGTGGTACATGCTCAAGACCCACATCGTATCGTCAGGACCCAATGTCAGCCAACCGTTGCCGCGCGGGAATAGCGACTCCCATTCGTCGTCCTCATGGAGCCCGTAGAGCTGGTCGTCAGGCCACTCGGTATTCATCGCGGCTTGTGGAACGCGGAATGGAAGTTCGGACGGATGGTCCTTGCCCTTGTAACCTGTGTATCGTTGAGTCTGGAATCGATCTCTCAGCACGCGCTGCCCTCACTGTACGGGACGGTCTCTGGGTGTTCTGTGAAGTGCAGTGTTTCGAGGAGGCCCAGTTTCGAGCGAAGGTCTATGCCTTGGTATGTTGCGAAGAGCAATAGACAGACAGCGACGACGGCCCATTGGACGGCAGCTGAACGACCGGAAGGCGAGGGTGTATTCATCTTCCTAGGCGACAGCGCTGAGGAAGGATGATTCCGGTCCAAGATTCATAGCTCGATTGTGAGGATGTCACTTGTCTGAAGTGATTGTGTCGTATTTCCCATCCGCATGTCAGCCTGTGAGTCTACGTAACCTCCAATGCCGTCAAATCTGTCCGTCTGAGCATTTGTCAGATGAAAATGTGTCACGGTTTCATTCCTATGCACTGAGGATGAGCTTCTTCTGGCCACACAGTGTTCGCATCACGATCAACGAGGACGCGTCAAACCCGATGATCATAACTTCTCCCCCGCGAGCATGTCGGATCATGTACAGCCTTATACGCGGTGAGATCTACCGAGTGCAGATGTGACGGCGACTAAACGAATGCCAGATCAATTCTACAGTGCGAGCTCAAACTTCCTCAAGCTGAAATTTATACCAGCCGAGCACTACAGGAGATATGGTTTCGAGCTTGAAACGAAGCACGAGGACCTTCCACGCGAAATGCTGATCTGGCTTCGGGAAAGATATGGCCTTAGGAGCTCCCCTCCGTCAGTATAGGTCAGATCTTCGTGGCGCAGGAATAAAAGCTCGAGCTATTCTCAGAGATCCTGCACCGCCCATACCACCCACCTAAATCATGCAACCATTCATCACTGCCAGCTTCATCTGCGCTTTTGCAATGACTTGCTTCGCTGCACCTCTGGGTATGTACATATGTTTAGCTCCTTCGATACAACTAAGACACTGACATTCAATGTTTTCCCTATCAGAAGAGCGTGCTGTACCCATCCCTGGGGCGTTCTTCGCCCACGACGTGGTCCCTCCAACTTCGAACATCGACAACAATGGCGTCTCTGTCCCTGGCACTTCGACAGTGGCAAACGCAGTACCGCCGAATACGCACGTCAGTGCTCGTGCAGGTCCATTGCCGGGGGTTTGGGTCCCTGTCGACAACTGATCGATGTTGGCTATGGCCACTCTGCTGTAGGACTTCGTTACCGTTTGCATGCATGTAAGGAGAGTAAACGAAGTTTGTAGTGCCGTGATGTCTATGCGATGGGAAGTTAAGTGAGGATCGACAAGAACTGAGTCAGATTATCGTAGCTGAACTTGAGCCCGGGCTGTATGGTCACTGTAGTACTGCGCCGTTCGAATCATGGTACGAAGGACAAAAGTACATGCGCAGCGTGTATCAAGAATGACAGTGCTTGCCGTTGCGAAATACTGTAAGAGGTTCTAGCGCCCACGGTGGGGGCCTTTCAAAATCACCCGTGGGGTGCCGCTCGACGTAAGTACTAGCGGTAAGACCACCGCTCGCACCGCCTTTGATCGCAGAATGCTCAGCTCAAGTCCTCCGGAAGGGCTTGCCGCTGATGAGAACATCAGGTCAGTGCAGTCGTTGTTTATTGAACCTGCGATGAAGTGCTGGGACACGATTCATCAACACGGACCCATGCGGGCCAGCGCTTGCCCACGCGCATCGCGGATCATTTGCAATGTTACATCGACGGCATTTGATCCGGGCAAGGGTCTTATTCTGACTACCATGCGCGTACGTCGACTGGGCTCGAACCGGTCCGATGATAGTATTCAACCTCGATGAAGACGATAGCGCACTCGGCCATAACGTTACATATCCTTTGGACACGAATCTCTACACGTCGATTCCCTCAGGGTCTGATAATCGGCGTATGTTCGCCGCGCCCGGAGTCCTCGACATCCCCCATGATCTTCTCCATTCGTCTTCTCTTACCTTCTCCCTCTATCTTCTCCCGCTGATTGCAAGCGGGGGAAGTGAACACCCGGTGGAAAAGTATACGCTAGCTGTGGAGTGGGTACTTCTCTCTTTCACCGTCCATTTTTGGTGTGATAGCTCACTAACTACGCATCCATAGTACATTCGTTGTACTGCCTCATGAATGGCACGTGGGCATTCATCCAGTTATCTATGTTCTTTCTGGCGATGTCGGGCTCTGAACTGTCCATATCGGCGCAGGTAAACCGCGCTGAACTTGAGCTTGGACCTTCAAGACAGCGAGCCTTCTTTCCGCGACATCACGGTTGCTGGCACGACCTGCTTGGGTCTGCTAGCATGTACCACCCTGCGACACCATGAGATAATGAACTAAGTGACTGGTAAGTCAAGCAGGCGAAGCTGACGATGAGACGCAACTGGCAAGCCCTGAGCGCCTGAGCTTAATCTGGATGATCACCTCGGCACGCAAACTTGAAGCTACCGGTGGGAAGGAAGGCACCGGTACCGGGTTGATGTTCAATTGCCAGGATCTATGTACCCTTTCTCTCCGAACCGCGTACGTCGATAGGAAATGCATCCGAGAAACTGCGCTCTACATCCGAATACGATGGACACATGAAACTGATTCTCAGCGAAGATAGTTGACACGAGCCTATACTGTAACCTCGCCGAGTGGCTTGATTTCATTCAATTCAGACATCATTTGATTTGGCAGCAGAAATGATATACACAGTCTGACATTTACATCGCGAGCGCCGACGCACGATATCGGGAATAGGATGCTTCAACGAGTTTCGACAGAAGTTGGATATACGGTGAGTTCTCCCTCCGAGCGAGACGGTGATCGCTTGGTCTCGTCTTTCTGAGCGAAGGGGACGCAAACGGCAGGCGACGCGAAGCTCTGCAACTGCGACTCGTGCTCCGACTGCGAGCGGCTCGGCCGCCCGAAGAGAATGCCGGGCACCGATGAACGTGAGGTCTCAGAAATAGTGGCGGAAGTGTATGCTGTCCCATTCGCAACCCTGAGGATGATGAGGAGAGGAGCTATTCCCTAATGTACTTGCTCAATGTCTGACTATGGGATAGAACGAGCTGATAAGTGTACCTGTATGCACTCGAGTGGGCCCGCTGTAAACTGCAACGTCGACTGAAGCGAGTACCCGACGAGGAAGATAATCGCAGGAATGGTGTACAGCGCAGCGCTCTCGATCAATATGGCGGATACGTTAGAGTATAGCCTATCCGAACGCCTGGACGATACACCGAAAGCGTGATCGAGGGCACGCTGTGCGAAGTAGACACGCGCAACTATCAGTGCTGTGACGAGGACGTTGACAGCAATAGACAGAGACCAGTAGATCAAGCCCAAGTTCACGCTGCTTGACGCAAATACCGACGAATTCGGCCGTGTCACAGCATCGAGTTCGACAATCGACATTGCTGGTGATCGCAAAGACTCAGTACTACTATCCCTGCGGTGTGCCACAAACATACATACCAAAGGAGGCGAGAAAGGTCAGGGTCGGAAGTGTGACGAAGAGCAATGCTCCTTGGTAGATGACATAAAGACGCCATATCTAAGCGGCTGGTTATGCGCCAAAGGTACACGTGAGACCAACGTGAGACTCACCAAGAGCCCGTCGGCCATCCAATTCATTATGAATGCGCTAAAGTTCACTGGGTCAGGTCCGAGAGCCCTGGCTAAAAAAAGATGGGCCAACCAGAAACGACCGGCAACGGAAAGCGAGTTAACAGCAAACTTTGCATAGTACGCCATGGGGCCTCCAGGATAGTTTCTCTGGTCGATCAGATATATTTGCTGCCATTTAGCCGTCATGGCGACTCCAGCAGTGGCAAGAGCTGTCATTACGATGATGTATACGAGGAGATACCGATGCCGCCTGTTGCCTCGCTGGATGTTACGCCAGAGTACGGCGATGCATTGAATGCATACTGCAAGGAGCACACCTGAGGAATCATTGGTTTTCGCTGACTCTTGGAATTCGATAACCACGGTACGTACCCCAGGCACCCCAGGCTACCAGTTCCCCATTATAGAGCCCCCGCTCGGTCTGCAGAACACTGAAAGGTTCATCGGGTGCCCAAGCCGGGTTGTATGATTCAATGTCGACAGCAGGCATACCAGGCGAGAAGCCGACAAGTCTTGGGCACTCGAGGCGCAATCGAGCACACACGCGCAAGTGGCAGAGCTCGAGAGACCCTGAATGGCAGAACGCCATCTTAAGGACAACGAAGGCTGGGAAGTCTGTCCCGTATTGGGAGCTCATCTCGAATGGGAAGGGCAATGCTGGGTCCTGGAAGTTGCAGGCTGATCATCACAACGCCGGCGTTCTCCGCCTTGTGAACGTGAACGTAGAGTGTTCAATTGATGAATACCGTGATTGTCCACAGTGACAGACGACGAAGAATGTATGATCTGAGACTAAAAACGGTCTAAGCACATATCGCCCGCGGAATTTCACAATCAGGGAGACCTCACACTTGGTTAGATTCGGGCATTATCCGCAAGAATTCAATCTGAAGGTGGTGATCCGCAAGCAGCCTTAGTGACTTCGGGCAAGATAACGGTGGAAGGACTCACACCGGGGTTCAAAATTCATGCCGATACGTGCACGTAGATACAGTCCCTATCCTTCCATGCGCCGGGCGCCAGATTTCAGTTCAGGACGTGGCACTATCGCCCCGGTTGATCGTCGACACTAGAAATAGTCAAGAGAGTAGTCAGTGTGGCCAAAGCAAGCACGCCAGTTTGACCATTTAGAGGAATGTTGTCTCCTCTCTCTCATGTAGAAATGCTCAAGAATCAGAAGGCTAGCTTCAGATAGAGGCGACAACCGGGTGAATGTGCGCGGCCTGGTAAGGGTGTCCAGATCATGGACTCGAGGGGTACGAGCGAGGAGGCGTCAAAATGAGGGGGTTTGCGGCACGAGCACATGGATCTACCATTCCAAAGTACTGTCGCGTTCTCTGACGCTTAAGCGCGCATGGCGGTCGAGAGAAAGGCGCGTGGGACCTATCCTGATGGCTGACGAACGTCTCGGCCGCGTTGGGCCGGGGACGTCGTTGCTTGCCCAAGACTCCCATGTGCGCTCCAGACTATCGTTGACAACGTATACTACCGCACACTCGATACAGAGAGCATTCCAATATTTCACCGCTAGATATATCACCATGCCAACGATCAATCGTTTGCTCTCACAGTCAACCACGCTCGCCCGACCAAGCTTGCATCCGCCTCCGACTCACTTGGCCGAATCGCTGTCACTTGTACTCAGACAGACGACGCGTGGCACGGGCAAATGCTCTGTGTTGCGATTCAACGCATCTGCGTCGCGAGCGACTTATTCGACTTTGTCGAGCATCAGGGCTGCGACTAAGGCCCACACGCTCATGCGGCGTACAGGCGAGATCGTCTTCAGAGGCTTGCCACATGACGTCGATGAAGACGAAGTGGAGGGGTTCTTTTCGCAATTCGGGGAGGTTCTAGGGGTAGATCTCAAGGAGGTCTCTTATACGGTGACGGTGGCGGGAGGCTACGTGCGATTTGCATCGCTGGAGTCAGCGGAAAAGGCTTCCGCGTTGGACGGCAAAGAGGTTCTCAGAAGACCGATGTCGGTCCGTGTCCTGTATGAACTCACAGACACCATACATGTTGGGAACATACCGCTGGGCGTCGATGAGGACCGACTGAAGGCGCTTTTCTCTCCGTGCGGAGAGGTTATCGATGTGAAAATCCAGCAATCTCTCACGAGCGAAACAAGAGGACGCAAATACGGATTTATCCGCTTCGCCACGGCGACCGCAGCTTCTAAAGCGCTGAAATCAGAGCGGCCCCTGTTTGGCGGACAACGCTTAACTGTCCACCTTGCGAAGCAAGCAACTACGGATCTCACGTTATGGGATAACTACGCAGAAACGGACGAGTGGACAGCCCGGTCAATCAGGATTTCCAATCTACCGCCTCAAGTCACCGAAGATCAGCTACGAGCCGAGTTTGAGTACTGTGGGGCTATCAATCTAACGCGCGTTTGGAGAGTACTGAGTACAGGCAACTCGCTTGGCTTCGGCTTTATCCAATTTGTATCGCCGGTGTCGGTTCCGAGGGCCCTTGAGGCCACGAAGGAGATTGCCGGTCATCCTCTTCGTGTACAACGTTTTGGATCTGTGCGGCCATCCGTACTTGAATACGTACCCCCGCCAGCCGACCCCAGCCCAACGAATTCTATCTTCATCGGGCGCCTTCCTCAGGATATGAACAATACTCGGTTGCGACGCTTGTTCGAGCGCTTCGGCAAGATCAGAAGGGCGCTGGTCGTGAGAGATGTGGTTGAAGGCAAATCGAGGGGCTGTGCTTACGTCGATTTCGAGTCCCCTGAGGCCGTTGAGCGAGCCGTCCAGCACCATTCGCGTCTGATGATCGACGGGAATTCAGTCAGCATAAAACGCAGTTACTCCCTACCCAAGAGTCAGCGGGATGCTGATTCTACATATGTGTACCCTCGCGATCCCCTTGACGATGGCCGCTCAGAATCCTGGGAGCAAGATTACTAGTTCGTGTGTGAATGTCAGTGTCGTTGCTATATGGATATTTATACCCGTGATTTTGCTGTTGATGTTCTTTGTCAATCTACGCAATCAGCTCAATAGAGTCGTATTCACACAATGATGGCACATGTCTGTTTCTTACATGCCACATGTCCACTTGCACAGTATATTACCCCGTCTTTCGAGATAAACTCGTTGAGTAGCAGGTGAAAGGAGATGATATAAACAAGCACTGACAACGTGGCCGTATGATAGCTCAGTCAAGAATGTGGTAGAGAAGTAGGCAATATGTGGATACAGGTATGACAGTGATGTGTGTATGAATGGAGGCTGGAGCAAGATAGCAATGACGGAGATAAAAACGCGACGATCGAGATGAAGCTATGCACCGAACAGATAAGGAATAAGGGGCAAGAGGCGAATGAGGAGAGGAGTGGAAGTCAGCGCACTTCGCGCCTATTCTCCAGCATTGACAGCACTTAGGGCCGTAGCCATGACGCGCACGGCCGCAAGATGCCAAGGCAATCCTTCAGATTGCATACCTCTCGCCAGCGCGAGTGTACTTAGAGCGTTGAACATCACGAGTTCTTCCTCCAGAGACCGAGCCTTGCTCTTGTGGAATGTCGCGTGCGCAGATGCTGTCTCGTACAAGACGTGTATACGAGCAAGAGCTGGTGTTCCGTTGGTGGGGGCGTGTACGAACGCCGCGGATCGAAGTGGCCGTAAATATTCGGGATGTGGAGCTGATGAGAACGAGTTGTAGATTGGAGCGGGTGACGCAGATGAGTTTGTATGTTGTGTGTGCGAAGGGGTGGCAGGGGCGCTCTCTCTCGAGGGGTCTTGAACGAACGGTTGCACGTCGTCTGTGAGAGGTGCGGCGAGAGCCGCGCATGAGATACGCGGCAAAGCATACACACGTAGACCACCGTCCGCGAGGATCTGCTTGACGCCTACAGAGCTTGACGGCGGAAGAGTAGTGGGGCCAGGAAGGAAGGCGGGCGCGCAGGCCGTCTCGTAAACGGCGAGAGAGACGTGCATAGGAAGAGTGATAGCTGGCAGAGAGAGCTCAATGGTGTCTGCCCAAGCTGTCGATTACGTCAGTGCAGATCTCATGTGGGGAATAGAGGGAAACCGTACCATTTACCTCCTCAGCCCCCATCATCCCCGCTCTGATGATGAACATACGCCAGTCCGTGCTTGCACGAGTAGCAAACCTCTTGGCGAACGACCATACAGTGCTCGCGATGAAGTGCGCAGGCTCTGGCTCCTGTAACGCCCACACCTCGAGGTCATGTGCTGTCCCACGCTCGTCCGAGGCGGCTGCCACCAACCAGCGACCAGCGACCCCATATGCGACATGAAGAAACGATTGCCGATATACGACATTAAGCGTTTGAATCGGATGATCCCGGTTGAAGTTCACGTAGGGGTAACCCGGAGCTATTGCAAACGCTGGCTCGCGCACTAAGGTCCTGACGCGGGGTCCATGGTCGAAGAACCTGCGACTCATAGCGCGATCGGCCGGCCGGGCTACACGGTCGTAGACAGAGCACGCAAAGTAGAGTTGGTCCCTCTGATGCGGCGAGAAGACAAGGTGTACTGGAAGAAACTGGAAGAGGATCTGGGCTTCACAATACGCCTTCTGTGCCCGCTTGACGGCCGAGAAGACTTGACGAAGGACAGGCGAAGATAGAGTCGTGATGCGCGCCGGCGCCACAATGTAGAAGACGTAGTTGGTTGTTGTCGATTCAAGACCTCCTACGAATTCAGCTAGGAACGGGCTGGTCAACAATTAATCAGTTTGGAAGAGCGAAGAGACGTACTCAGGGTCTTTCGGAATGTGTCAAAGTGCACAGGCACAATTCCATCTCGCGCACACCCAGCCGCGCGTCCAGGAGTATGCTTTCCGAGATTGGCTGACTGGTAATCGCAGTAGAAGTAAGGATACAATACGGACAACACGAGACAGTCCCGCCCACCTTGTACGTCTCGCCCAAGCGCTTTAACCACTCGCCCGCAAGATCCATCCTCCCATCCGGCACATCCTCGAAGAACACGTAGGCCACAACATCCTTTGGGCCCGATCGTGGTCCGAGCCCCAGCTTATGCCAAAATCGCAGTGCAGAAGGTTGTATGGCAATAATAGCCGAACCTTTGCTCACAGCCAATGCCATACTTCCGAAAGTCTTGATCTGAAGCTTCGCTGCGTCGGACTGAGATGAGTCTCCCATCACCACATCTTCCCCGTCCTTTCGTCGCGGAGTTTCGATGAGCGCAGTCGCAAGGTTTACGGGTGCGCGTAGACCCCGCACGCGCTGCAACGCACTGAGTACGCGCGCGATATCCGCTGGCCACACCTCGCGCTGGGCTGCCTTGCAGGCGTCGTCCTCGCACAGCGCGCTCGCTTCCCACGCCTCCGCCCACACTGCGCTTTCGACCACTTCGCGGGCCAGCAGCTGAGCTGCCGCTTCGAGGCTCTTCGCCTTCTCGCTCGCTGCACCCATCAATGCAGCGGGAGAAACAGGTGTAGGCACGCTCGCTGCGCCAGTCGCCGGAGGAGTGGATGCAGACGATGCGAACGGTGTCGATGCGACAGGGCGCATTTGTGAAGCTAGAGAAAGAAGGTACGCATGCGAGAAGTTGCTGGCAAGAAGCGACGGGCCAGCGGACAAGTACGCGGGTAACGGGGTTCGTGCTCTGCTCTGTCCCTCATCTCCCACACCTTCGCCTTCTTCGCTCTCGTCGTCATCGCTGCTCTCCTCGTCGCTAGTAGCCGGTACCTCCTCCTCGTCCTCATCATCCAGATCGTCCTCCCAAACGTCATGCCAGGCAGCGCTATTCGAGCGAGGCCGATCTCTCAACCCCTGACCAGTCGCTTTACGCTTCAAGGCTCGAACGATGCGCGGACGTGGGTCTGTCGCAGCTGTATAGCGTAGATGCCAAGGTACCGGTGCAGGTGCGGAGATGGACGTCGCACTTGGTGTACTTGGTAAAGTGGCTGAGTACGTAGCTGATCTGGGCGTCGGTGCAAGAAGAGACGAAGCGCGAGTTGTCATGGACGGGCGTGGGGCGGATAGACTGGATACGCGCGGCGGAAGTAGCGCTGATCCGTTTACGAAGGATGCCGAAGCTCGACGCGGGGTTGGAGCAGGGAGAGAACTGGATGTAGGAGTGTAGGGTAGCATGTCTTCTTCTGGGGGACTCGGTAGACCACCAGTGAATGCGAACTTGCCCTCAGCGTACTTCCCATCCCGCGCCGCCAGCGTAGGGGCAAACGAGATAGGTCCGTACCCGTCCGTTGCGAGAGGTGGTTGGAACGATTCAGGCTCCTGTTCCACCACTGGTCGTTCAGGCGACATCGAAGGTTGTAGGACGGCTGTGAGCGGAGTAGGATCGAACGATACTGAAATGGACGAAGGAAGCACAAGATTCGTTGGCGTCGAGGGAGGCAACCATGCCGATGCAGAAGGTGTCATCGCCGAAGCGGAAGGTGGCCCAGGACCAGACGCCGCTACATGATCGAACATTCCGCCCAGAGGCGCCGGACCAGCTCCCGGCGTAAGCCCGGTGCCACCGCTTGTACTGAGGCTGAGCGAAGGCCGCGGCGCGGGTTTGGGCGCAGGAGCCGATGCACCCCAGAAGTCGAAGTCTGCATCGGTAAAGATATCGTCGGATCCGCCTAGATCCCAGCTGTTCTTGCTGAGGTCATTGGGCGCATTGAGATTGGTGTTATTTCCCAAGTCCATGTTCATGTTCATGTTGAGAGCCTGTCCACTGAGGTTCATATTCATGTCCATTCCCGTGTTCAACCCATTCATGCCCGACGTGAGATAGTCGCCGTTTCCCCAATCTCCGAAGGTATCGAATCCGTCAAACGTATCGAAGGTCGTTGGCTGAGTTTGCGTCTGCGGCTCCGGTATTGGTATTGGAGGCGGCACGGGCTCGGGCTGTGGATTCGTCGGCGCACCACTCGTGACGGGGGATGGATAAAAGGGTTGCCCAGCCGTTACGGCAGAAGTTGCAGTTGCGGCCGCCATAGATGCAGCGGCCGGTGATGCAGACGTACTGACGCTCGGCCTCCCAGCAGTTCGCGAGGATCCACTGGCGGCACCACCGCTCGTGGCCGTTGTAGAGCTCGCGGCAGAAGCCTCCCGGCGTTTCTGTATCTCCGCGTCGCGTTGCTTGACAGCTTCATCCACGAATGTCCCGACGGTTGTCGCCACTCGCTTCACGTCGGCTTGGCCGGGCGTATGTAACGCAAGAGCAAATATGCCGACCGATCGCACTCCTGGTGTTGTCGCTGGCCGGACACGCTCGGGTAGAGGAAGTGTAGATTGTGGAGGTGGTGCCTCTGTAGATGCAGAAGCGAGACTGTTTGGTGCGGGGGCGGCAGGAGCTGGTGGCGCGGATTGTAGTTCTGGCGGTAGGACAGGAGTGTATGCCAAAGGTGTGAAGGTACTGGCACTCGCTGGCATTCCTGAAGTCAACGAGGGAATATGTGCGAGCGTCAGTGACGCTGGCCATACTACGGCTACGCCTTTGTCCTCGCCATGTTTGTTCTGCACCACGATCCACGCCACGACGTAAAGGGGATTGCCAGATTCGCACTCCTTGCCGTTCTCGCTCCCGCTACTACTGGCTGCCGAGGAAGGGGAATTGATCGAGGAGTCCCACGGGCCGCAACATCGATCCGCCAGTGCAGCACGATAGTGTTCCGTGAGGGCAGAACGGGGCCCCGTATAATCCGAGAGGTAGTACGCCGGAGTGCCATTTGGTAAGAGTATGATGGGTGCGCCTCGATCTGGTGGTGTTTCTGGCTCAAACGGCTTGTACGTCGAGGCGCGTAGTTGTGGCGTGAACAAGATGCGATCAAGCGAGAGGGACACATCAAATGTGCAGTTCACAAGCGCCCGCGTCGTTCCGTGGTGTTCCCATCCGATGCCCCATCCGCCTTGCGCAACTGGCGGGAACAGTGCAAGACCGTCTCGAAAGCGGCACATCCTCAGCTGAGGCGTGCTGCCGCTACACATCTCCTCGGACAAAGCGTTCGCCAGTGATCGTAAGAAATACGCGTATGGAAGCCTGAGATGTTGTCGTGGGAGTAATGTCGCACTGGCTGACAGCGAAGTCGAAGAGGAGGATGACGGCGTGGGTACTGCGCTCGATGTCGATGAGAGGCATGAAGGGCAAGGTGCGCGCTGGGCCGCACAGGCGCGTGAGCAAGGGAATATTCCATCCGGGGTGAATGACGCGGATTCCATGACTGTCGATCTTGTCAGCATGGTTCGCGGGTGGGTACAGAGTGCAAATCAGAGATAATCAGGCTGGCGTACACACTTCACGCATGGCCCAAGACTTTCTTCCTCGAATAGGATGAATAGCCTAGTTTACGCGTCCGCAGTGGTCACCGTCGGCAGACTCGGGAGTGTCCACTTGTCCACCGGGCGTACACACACCAGCAGGGCGACAGTCCATACGAATCTGCATACAATAGTGAGAAGCACTTGTTCTGAACAAGGTTCGAACATTCGAGCGACTCGCCGAGGCGTCATTGCTCCATCCCAACCTGGCAAGACCATGACCACATTTGTCAAGCCCAGGGCGCAGGGCCGCTGTCAGGCATGAATGATCCTCATTCCGTGCATCAAGCCAGTGCACTGGGAAGTACCACGTAACCGAAGAAAGAACGCGCAACTCACCATCCATATTGTCCAACTTGAGCTCGGCGAGTTGCTTCCGTGCCCGAGCCTGTCCTTCGGAAGCGTCGACCGCGAATACGTAGAGCTGTTCGGCACCCCTTTCCATCGAGATACTGAAGAGCACATTTCCCAGTATATCCGATTCGGGCGCGCTGGCCCGCAAAGTGGTCACCGTACGCCGCGCGGCCTCTAGTGCGTCGGGTGTCGTGGGTCGCCAGACTTTATACAGCACGACGGTATTTGGTGGAAGAGGGACATCTGCGGCCAGCACTGAAGATTCGGGTGTAACCGGTACGGGAGGCGTGAATAGTGCGCTCGTAGCGAGATGCGCCGGCGAAGGAGTTGACTTGGTGGTCATCGCGCCACTGTCCGAAGCCTCAGCACGAGAGTTGAATCCAAGTTGACAGTCTACGCACCCAGCTGGAGTATTTGGTCTAGCTCCTAAATTCCGAGGAATAATGTATGCTATCGGTAAGCCACCGCAGGGTCGTAGAGCATGATTGCCGGGAACAAGGACCAGATAGAGCACCGTGCGGCCCGTCCAGGTGCGCCGCTGCGGCGGACGTGCCACGCCGATGTCCGTTTAGCGGTGTAGATGGGCGCTTGTGGATCACTGCCCTCTGCTTGTCTCCCGCGTTCATGTGTCCGCGTTCTCGAAGTCCCAGTACTCTCCTATAAGTCATGCCCGTCACTTGTATGAAGTGAAAGATTGCGTGCGGTGCTCTCCTGTGTCGACAGATAGCCAGTGCTACACGCAACATTATTTGCACGCCTTTCTCCGGCTGTCTCATCCGCATCAAGCCTGACGCTGCTCGGTGTCGCTGCTCGCTGACTATGATCCAGGCGCCGAGTGAAATTGCATAGCCGACCGTTCCTATACCGATGACAGCGAGATGGCGCCGATAAGAAGAGCACTATGAGGCGAGGTGGCGTTCGGGCGCCGAGATTCGTGCCCGACGCAGTCCTCCATTGTTCTCCTACAGGCTAGCCGCTCGCGAACTCAGAGCGAAGATACAAAGAATGCTCGCTACAGCACATCAACACCTGGTGCTTGCGCCACTGAGCACAGTCTCTTCGACTTCGTGCCTCCCACTGGCCGACGACAACATTTCCATACCTCTACGATCCTAGTCCAGCGAATCGCACCATTCGTGAATTAGCCTGGCTGCGTATGTATCTACGTTGCTCTGGCGGAAATACTCTTTTGCGCAATTGCGTAACGATCATCGTCGGACTCCCAAAATTTGCTCGGATAACCCCGACGTGGTTGAGCGAGAAGATCCAGGATCACGGCTCTGAGGTCGGCCTGCGGCGCGTTTGCACGAGCTCACCCGCTACCTCCATACAGATGACATTGTCCTCGACCCCAGAGCATGTGTCTGTCTAGTCTGAGGCATCTATGTATAGGTAAGCAAGACAATCGAGGCTGAGCCACCGCTCCGAAGCGACTGCGCTCATTGTGCTCCTCCTCAGATAAACCACAGTTCGGGAAACGTGACTCCGTTGAATTTCCAATTTGGAACTGCAGATCTATGGCGGTCTATATAACCACCACCCGTCCTGCTCAGTTCTCTCTTGCGATCCTCACCCATCTTCTCCCTGCGTCACCCGCTCCGTGAAACCGTGAGTCCCTCGTCCGTCTCTCCATTTGCGCCACCATCGCTCACGACTCGCACCAGTCATCATGCATCGTCTATTCAACCACAAAAAAGGAAACTCCATATCCACCACAACTCCTTCCTCCACCGCGGTCCCCTCCTCAGCGAAGAGTACACCCGCGCATGGCTCCGGTCACCGTCGCAACCACAGCGCGGCACCCGTCGCCGCTCCCTACATCCCGCTCCCCAAGCCCACTATGATCAAGCCCACCGGCATGTTCAAGCCCGCTCCGGCGCCCGTCCCCATCCCGGATCCCGCTATACGAGAGACGTACGCGAACAACGAGCTCACCAAGCCGTTCTTCGCTACGCTCGAGGATGGGTATCTCGACGATGTTCCAGACACTGTCCCCGTCAACATTGCCCCGCGCCATTTGATCGAACGTGACGCGCTAGGCCGTCGTAAAGAACCCCCCGTGATGTCTGGGACTGTCCGACCCTCCCAACGCACTCAGGGCGCCGCCCATCCCGCGCGTTTCTCGGCTACCGTCTCTGGCCAAGCCGCCCAGGATACCAAAACCCCTCCCAGCTCTCGTCCTAAGCACCGCGCCCACCTATCCGACTCTGCTATCCAACTCCTCTCGCCACGCTCTCGTGCCGACAGTCCACTCCCGCACGACATTGCCGGCAAACCGCGGACCATCCGCAAGACCGGTGCGCTCGATGGGCCCCTGCCAAAGACGGTCGAGCCAGTCGGCCCGCCGCGCGAGAGTGTGTACCTGGATGATGTGCACGGAAGGTGGCTGTCCTCGTATGCGGTCGATCCCCTGCGGCCCCATCTCATGATCAAAGTCCTCAACGCCGCCGAGCTGGATGTCTTCAAGCGCGTGTACAAGGCCGGCAGAGTCAAATTGGGTCCCGGCCGTAACTTCTGGATTCGCCTATGGAATGAAGAACCCACTAGCTATATGCCCCGGCCTCTGAACCCACATGTTTTCGTCCCGTCGGAGGTCAGAGAGGCAATCGAGGAGCTCGTGAAGGAGGGGGAGGAGAAGGAAAAAGCCCGCCGGCGCGTCACGCGTCCACCGCCTGGATCTATCATTGACGATGACCTCTACATCAACACCAATCTCAGACAGGTCTACAAGCCGTCGGCGTCTGCCGCTGTGAAGCGCGTCGCTCGCGGAAAGGCCCTTCCTCCCATTCCGAAGCCTCCTCCGCCCAAAGACCCGAACGCGTGGGTACCTCCTCCTCCGTCCAGAGGTCCCGGCCCCTGCCGCAAGCCTGGTATGTTCTCAACGGGCAAGTATCGTGAAAGCGGCTGGAAGGTGCCTGCTCATATCGACTACGGCTACGATTGGCTTCCTCTTCACCTTCATGATATGACGGTGTGTACTATTGTTCGTTCAACCCATGATGTCTGCTGACAAGCGCTTCTCAGTCCGAAGAACTCGACGTTCTGTACGACATCCTTCGCGACAAGATTCTCTATGACTGTACATGCTGGAAGTCAAGGGAAGAACGCATCCCAAGCCGGATGCCGGGTGGCACCGTCCGTACTATTTACAATAACACGCTGCGGAACACTATTAACCAGAACCTGGGCATCTCCATGCGCCACGCTCAGCGTCTCGCTCTCGAGAAGGTCCTCGCCGGCATCCAGGATCTGCCGTACGATAAATTGGATGGGCCCTACGTGCAGGAGTACGAGTTCAAAGACATCTACAAGGAGGTGCTGGTCAGCATCGAAGAGAGGGAGGAGAAAAGGCAAAAGGAAGTCAGGAGGGGGAATGTGGCGAGGACGGCCGTCGCTGTGCCGCCTGGCGCGAAACCGCCTGCCGACTACGCGTCTCGTCCGCTATCCCATTTCTGATCACCTCTTCATGCGCGCTGCAGCTTCCCACTCGGACGCTCGCATATTGCCTTCACCCATCGCAATACCTTCTCAACCTGCCATCCCTCTTACTGCCCTGTCAACCGCGCCCTTCCTCTACTACCGATACCACACAGGCTATCTGCGAAACTCTATCCCCATCTCACTCTCTACGGACACCTACCTTGCTCTCTCCGCCCTGACTTATCTACTCTCATAACTGTCGCTCCTTGTCTCGTCGTTATCGCACCACTCACGAACCTCACACGCTCCCTGACTTCTCACCGTTATTGTACCACTTACGCCTCCTCCACTCTGGCCGCGCCAAGTGCTCGCGTTGTATGTTTACCTTCTATCTCAGTAGCAAAGTGTATCCGTATCCCCAAAGAAGCAAAGATGTACATTATCTCATTCTTATCAGTTGAGCGTGTTGAGCGTCAAGGTTCGAAGCCCTACAACACGATGCAATGACGGTGGCGCAAACGGCATCTTCCGAGCGCGCGGCACCGAACTGCAACTTGGACGCGTCTTTCACTTTCGACTCGCCTCCATCTCCCCTTCCTCCCACATACACGCGGTAAGTCCCAAATATACTCTGCAACATCTCCCATATCCTAGCGTCATTCACGAATATCCACTAAATTTGCCATCATCTAGGCGAAACCACCTCATCACAAAATGTCTACGCGCCCCGCCTCTACTTCCACCAACCCTGCGCCCGCCCCGCCGCGCCCTTACACGGTCAACACTGCGACGAAAGTGCTGGACAGTACCCATGGTCGCATCCTTTGCATTGCGGATATTCGCGGTCGCCTGTCGGCGCTCAATGACCTCGCGCGCGAAGCCGGTGCGCAGGCCATTATTCATACTGGCGACTTTGGTTTATTCGGTGAGATATATTCTATATCATATGCTTCCGCGCTATCTGCCGCAATGTGCTACCATTGATTGTGGATATTGGCGGATAAGACTGGGGGAGTACGGGATGCGGTGGCGGGTATGAGTGGATGCGGCGCGTTCTAGCGCGTTCCGTCCGCGACGCGTCGATGCAGAAGCCCGTCGAAACATCACCGCATCAGGACACCGCTCTTCTTAAAACATATCTTTTTGCGCGACAGAGACACGAGGATACTTGGGCCCGATATGGCTCTCAGCGCTACTTGGATTTGACTCTCGTGTGGCACGGCTACGTCAGTAGCCGCCGGGAGTGGTATTCTGATATCTCAAAGAACACGCCGATCAGCTTTGATCATCCCAGCCATACTATATCCTTCGACTCTCATTCTGAATCTATCTTTTCTCCTAGCATCTAATGTTCATCTTCTGACACGTTTTCCCAGAGGCTTCAAGTCTTGACCGAATTCACGACCGCACCCTGCGCCACCTCACAATGTATTCTCCGCTCCTCCCCTCCGCCCAGCGCAACCACCTTCTAGCACCCGACAACCCGCCCGCGTCCGTCCGGTCGACGCTTACCATCAATATGCTCTCCGAGTTTCCTCTTCTACTGTCTGGCCAGATCAAACTCCAGGTCCCCGTTTACACCGTGGCGGGAGCGTGCGAAGATGTTCTCGTACTCGAGAAGTTCCGCACCGGCCAGTACACCATCCCGAACTTGACTGTCCTGGACGAGGCCACAACTCGTGTTCTTGATGTCGGTGGCGTCAAGCTACGTCTACTCGGTCTTGGCGGAGCCTTCGTCCCGCACAAGATGTTCGACAACGGCGACGGAAACGCGACAATCGCCGGTGGTGGAGGAACTATCTGGACGACCATGCTGCAAATGGGCGAGCTTGTCGACACAGCGCAGCGTGTATTCGACCCCACCGAGACACGTCTACTAGTCACGCATGCTTCCCCCGGCCGCGAGGGCCTGCTCTCATCACTCGCTCTCACGCTGAAAGCCGACTTGACCATGAGTGCCGGCTTGCACTTCCGCTACGCCAGCTCCTGGAACGAGTTCTCCGTGCAGGGCGACTACGATGGTTTCCGTGCCAAGCTTCGCGCCGGCAAGGATGCCTTCAACCGTGTATGGGATAGCGTGAAGACGCAGGTCGATCAGGTCATCGACGACAACCAGCGCGTATTGCTCGACAAGGCGCTCGCTGTCGTCGACCGTGTACCCCCCGCTATTGCGCAAGCTGGCGAGGAGCCTGCATGGAAGAACTGCTGGAATTGGAACTTGTGCGATGCTGCGTATGGGAACCTCGTTCTCGACGTACGCGATGGTCGCGTCAGCGCGGAGTTGAAGTCGCAGGGCTTCAACTACGCCTACCGTCGTTCCGCCACGCCATCGAGTGGCGCAACTCCCACGGCCGCCAATGCCAACACCGCGCTTCAGGCAACCGGCACGCCTGGCATGGCTATGACATCCAAAGCAGTCAGCCCCGCCCCGCCCGCTCCCGCCGCACCATCAGCACCATCTCCCGCACCTCCCAAACCCGTTTCTCCCGCACCCGCCGCAGAAGCATCCACGACCCCGAAAACGAACGGCACGTCGTCTCCTGTGGAGAAGAGCGAGAAAGAGAAAGAGAAAGCCGAGCGGGAAAAGGCCAAGAAGAAGGAGAAGCGTGACAAGAAGAAAGAGCGCGATGCGGCCGCACGCGCGGAGGCCGCCTCGCCCGCACCTGCAGCCTCCGAAGCAGCTGAGGCCGACAAGCCTTCCTTAAGCGTGCAGCCCGTCGACGGCGAGGCACCCGAGAGCGGGCTGATGAGTCCTCGCACGGACAGCACAGGTGCACGCACGCCAACGAGCAAACGCGCACCGCGGAACCCATGGACACTGTTCATGCGTATACCGATCCCGGCGAATGAGCAGGAGGTCAGGGAGTTCTTCCAGGACGCGAAGGCTGGTATCACCAAGGTGCATTTCCCGCAGTCTTCGTTTGCTGGGAGGGAGAAGCGGCTGGCGTACGTTGAATTCGGCGATGAGGAGGCTATGAAGGCTGGATTGGAGAAGCATGCCGAGGTACGTTCATACTCATCTGTGCCTTGTTTCTGGACTATCAAGCTGATGTGTCCCCACAGAAACTCAACGATGGTGTACCGGATGTGAAGGTCGCTGATCGGGAGCCCAGAGAAGGCGGCTCGTTCCGTGGTCGCGGCCGCGGGAGGGGAGGCTTCGTCTCCCGCGGTTTCGCCGCGGCCGGTCTTGCGCGCGGCGGTGCGCCCAAGTCCAACGGCGACTCGTAGGGCTTATGCCCAATGTCCCGCACGACCAAAACGACCCATGACTTGACGCGCGACGAAACGACATCTTCTCGCTTGCGCCCGGAGATGTAGAATGATCTGTGGGCGGATAGTTCTTGACACATTATGCATAGTATGATCTCTTTACATAGTTGTCCTGTGTCTTGTCTGTTGATTACGGTTTCTCGTACTTAATCGCGACCAGAGATGGTCTAACGAATATACCTCGAGACTGCCGGGATTAAATAATCGTGGCTCTCAACATGGCGCGTGATGGTCAATATAATTCGCAGTGTTACGATTCAGCACGGGAATGCATAATGATACAGATAGCAAGGCGAAAGCAGTAAAACGAGTACTTTTGCAAGTGAGATGACGAGGGAAAATATGTACGGTCGTTGGTCTATAGCAGATCGAAGTCGTCGAGCTGTACAGAGCGTTAGCATTAGTTGAAGGCAAAGCCACGGAGGTCACGAACCTCATCGTTGTAGCGCATAACAGTACGCTTGAGTTTACTTGTATCGACCCATGTCACGAAGTCCTCCATATGCCTAGCACAATGTCAGCACATCGAGGACAATACGGGATAAGGGGTATGGAGGCGTACCGTGTAACGAGGTACGCTGGATCCGTGATCATGTCAGGCCCAACTCGGACGTGCCCTTGCTCGATGAATTTGACCGCCTAAAATGTATAAGTAATCCGTAGACTCCACAACAGAGCCGAGAGACGTGCGTACCGCAGAAACCGTCTGAGCCATCTTGCTCGTCACCATGATCACAGCCAAGCGCCTACGACAAAATGCCGCTACGGTCAACTTGTTGTCGACATCGCTCATCTTGGCTTGCGCATTCAGAACGCCCATATCGAATAGCTTGCTAAGTATCTGGAAGAGCTTGAGTATGCATGGGCGTGCAGCAAGAAGGCGTGCGCACCTGTCCCTCCATTCGGGCGCGGAATGGGTCTTGGGCGGGCAGCATGGAGATACGGTGTGCGAGGGAGCGTAGGGATCCGCAGAGTTTATTATATCTGTGACAAAGTGATAAGTATGACAGTTTTCTGTCATGCACAAGAATGCACAAGGGGGTACAGGGTACGTCGAATGTATGAGAGGGAATATTTACGCACTTGTGGTAGTCCTCCCGATCCTGAATGTGATACCTCCTCATGACCTTGATCTCTCGCAAATTCGCATCTTGCTTCCACTACAGGTTTCCAGATGAGCTATTTCCCAAAAATATGACGGGGGACTCATCCCACTCGGGACGTTGCGTACATACGTTTAGAAAGTCGACCTTCTTGAGCAGCTTTTGCTCATGATGTTTGAGTGCGCGGACCATGGTGTGCCCTCTCTAGCGATGGGTATCCTTGATGTGTAAAGAGTAGACACGCTTCTAGAGACAGAAATGACGAGTACACAAGGCTGAGTTCACGATGCGTCCAGACGGTGAGCGTCAAACTCAAAGCAAGGCCAGAGCGCGTTGAGCAGAACTTTCTCCCGGGCCGAAAAGCCGGGCCACGTGGTCGTGTCAATGCGTCGCGCCCGCCGCGGCGACGAGCGCTTGCTTCGCTTCCACCGCCATGCCCGGCGAATGACTGTCCGGACGATATAACCTGCACGAGGCAGAACCTGCAGACTCTGCTAATGATTTGGCACTAATACTTGCGTGACCACGGCTGCCTATGGCCGAACTTCGTAAAGCGCCGCGTGCACTTAACTAAGCTCGATCCCCGACACCTGTCCCGACTAGGCGACTCAAGAGTGCAGCCCACCCATAAGCTGACAATACCAGACATGTTTGCGAATATCTCCGGGATCTTGAAGGGTCAGAGCTCTCGTAAGCTATCGCCGTGATGGAGAGTGGACATGAATCTAGTGGCCTCACGCGCACGCACATCGTCTCTGCGAACGCGTCCTGTCTCGACACCCGGAATCCGCACTCTTATTGGCCACTCAAAGTCAATCAGAGATCACCATACGGGTCCTGTTTCGGTGGACAATTGAAGTCGCCCGTGTACCCGTCGGACGCCAGACCATGGACAGGTGGACTTCGACACGTCAAGCTTCGACAGGCTGTCCATGGACACCACGCGCAAGGTCCCATCCTCCCCGCCAGAGTGTGCATTCCAGCAACTCTTCCATCGGTCACTTGAGGCGAGATCACCGTACTCCGGCCAAAGCCGCTTCTTATTCATCACGGCATCTCCCTTTTGATCGTCGCGTAGCCTGCTTTGGCTCTGCACAGCGCTCGTAACCGACTTGCTTCTCGAGCATAGCACGGACACCGATGTCCGTCTACTGATGCATGGCGCTATACGCTCGTGGTCTGAGGCCAGCAAACGAACGATATAAAGCTTGGAGCTCCACGGCTTAGTTTCTCCAGCAACCAGCCAGCCCATCCAAGCAAACCAACCCTCTACCAAACGCTCTTCACTACCACTTCACGCACTCAATCATGCACGCCTCATTCAAAGCCCTCGCTCTCCTCGCCGCCGTCGCTTCGGCGTCCGCAACGAGCTTCAAGCTCAAGGCCCACGTCACGGCCAACGACCTCTCGCCGTCCATCGAGGGCCAGGAGGTCGCCGTC